GATCTCATGGATAAAGCTCTTGAGCTTGGATCTGGCACTGCATCTAGCAAAAATTATATATTAGAGACTTCTAAGGTTGATTTGGTCGATGAACCCCATCCAGATGATAATAATGCTGCAGTGAGAGAGAAACCCTACATCTCAAAAGCTGAAAGAAGAAAACTTAAGAAAGGTCAGAATAGCAGTTCTACAGACAGCAACATCAAGCAGGAAACTCAGCAATCAAGAGATATTGATGTTTCTTTGAATCATCCTCCAAACAAGGTTAATAATCCGAAGTCAGGTTCTGTAAAAGTCAGCCGTGGTCAGAAGGGTAAACTGAAGAAAATGAAAGAAAAATATGCTGATCAAGATGAAGAAGAAAGAAGTATCCGCATGGCTTTATTGGCAGTAAGCATTCATTTTTTAATCTCAAATGGTTGAATATTTCAATTGAGATCGAGTTTCATTCGTTTTTTTCCCTCTTTTAGTTCCACTTGATGAGAAATTCAATTTACATTTCTCTTTGCCTCATAGCAAAATGTTTTCCTCATTGAAATATCCCACAACTGTGATAGCCAATATCCATTTTGCGTGTTTCTCTGCTCTGCAAGAGCATGACTATGTCTTATTTTGCATGCTCTGCTCTGCATGATCATGACTATGTCTTATTTTTCTTATACTATTACATCGAAATATGTCCAAATGAGTGTAATATCTGTGTTCAATCTTTGTCTTCTTCTCAGCTTTGCACTATGATGCTCATTTAATTCTCTTCCAACTCTGCAGTGTGAATTCATCAGCTGTGAATGATATTTTTGATAACCTAGCTCTCCAACTTTCTAAAGTGTGTGCATTTTTTTTATATGAATTGTGAATTGTATGCATAGAACCCTTCGTCTCGTACATACTTTGATAGGAATTGAATTTATATTTGTACGCTGAGGGAAAGATTACAAAACAGGGAAGAAATTTGAGTGGTTCCTGCCCTTTCTATTCCAAATTAATTTTCTTTCATCCATACAGTTATGAGCTTACCAACTGTGGATGATGTTTTTGATCACTTAGCCCTCCAACTTTCTGATATGCATCCATGGAACCCTTGATCTAGTAGATACTTTTATAGGAACCATATTTATTTATGTACCGAGAGAAGGAAAAGATTATGAAGTAGAGACACAGTTGTCTTTCCAACTCTCCCAATTCTGAACTGTTTGGAACCTTGATCTAAAACTATTTATGTCTAATCTCGATCTCTATCCACAAATAAATTATGGCTATTATGACCCTAACCACTGTCCTTTCACACTTTGAAAATGGAAATGCATCTCCTGAGAGAGGATGCATTAAAATGGTGGAAGTGTATAGATTTTGAGTGGTACTTTTTAAAAAATTTTGAATGTTGATCTATAACTCCATTATTGACAATATTTTTGGTTTACAGTCCTCAGGTAAGCTACCGAAAAATGAAGGGCCACAAAATGTGAAGGAAACAGCTTCTGATGTGAAGAAACGTGATGAAGGTAAATATTCTTGGTTTTCACTGTTTGAAAAGGGTAACCATTTAGTTTACAACTACCAAGTATCAATGTTAGAGGCCATTATTAGAAAACAAAAGAATCAATGTTGGAGGCTGTTAGAATATGTTCTAGTGGATTCTGAATCTCCAATTTTTATCTAGTAATTCAAATGGGCGATTGAAATTAACAAATGGATTGGCCTTGTCAAAAGGAATAGCTGAAAATTGCTCTTGATACCACGTGTTCAAATTTCGGTGGCATTTTCTTAGATATTTAATGTCTTGTTAAACTTGCCGCCAAATGTTATAAAGTAATAGTTTTCTTATGAATTGGTCAAATGAAAGTGAAGCATATTATCTGAACACTCCCTAAGAAATAAGAACTTCTCATTGATATTTGAGAAGTTACAAGCTGAAGTCCTTTTGTAGAAATCATAACAAAGCGTGCAAAGCTGAAACCATTTACACCCCTAAAATTACAAGAAGATATACTTCCTATATAAAAAGAAAACATTATGAACAAAGCCCTAAAAGTGGTGGGAGAGCAGGATATTTGAAAAGTTACAAGTAAAGATCTTCTATTAAAAGTTCGACTAGTACTGCAGGTATTGGATGTGGGAAAAAACTACGAAAAAAGAAAATCTTGTTTCATTTGTATGTGACATAAGGATTTTCTGCTTTTATGCTACTGAAAACTCGAGCTGGAGAATTTCTTTGATCTCCTCTATTGTTTTCCCGAGCGACCGTGTCTTGACAGTGGGTATTTGAAAACCTTTTGCTTTTCTTTTCAAGAGGTTGTCCGGACCATTGATGATCCTTGAAAGACGCTTTTCCATGGGTTGCACAATGTGGTTATTTCCAAAAGGAGACTTGTCAATCAATGCCAAAAACCCAAAAGTTCAGGAGAAGCTGGATAAGTGTGAGAAAACTGTGCCTATCTAAACGAGGCCCCTTAACTCTCGTTCAAGCTGTTCTTTCAAGCATTCCAACTACAGTTGGTGGAAAGATCTAGCCTGGATGGATTATGTGGACTCCGAGTAGCTCGATTTTGATACCTCATGCAGTCTTTCTTTGACCATTTGATTAGATCACCTCGTGCTCTTGTTCATTTATATGATATGCAGATTTACATCTTTATGATCGTTATAGTTTTTAGTTTTTCCCCCAATAAATAAACTTAAATCATGGCCTATGTTGATAATGCATGATCTTATGGGGTCATATATTTTGATGTCTGAGTTGTCTTTGCTATGACAGGCGCTCTAGAGGCTCCAAAAATATGCTACAAATGTAAGAAGCCAGGTCACTTGTCTCGAGATTGTCCCAAACATCCTGATAATCTTTCACATAGTCACTCGAATGGTGCAACGCAAGACGATCGCCAAGTGGCATTGGACGATGATGCCGAACTGGACAAAATAACTATGGAAGAGGATGATATTCATGAAATAGGTGAAGATGAGCGAGAAAAACTGAATGACGTGGATTACTTGACCGGACATCCTTTGCCTACCGACATTATCTTGTATGCTGTGCCGGTGTGTGGGCCGTACAATGCAGTGCAATCTTACAAATACCATGTTAAGATTGTTCCAGGCCCTCTAAAAAAAGGGAAAGGTAAACTAACTTTCGCACTTTCTTTATAGAATCTTAAATAGTTTCTTGACGTATTCGAAATTTTTAAAAAGTATCTTATTTATTAGATAAGTTAGATCTTAGCCTTTCAATTTATTGTCTGGTAGATCCGTGAATTTTAAGAGATTGTTGCACAAGTCAAAGACTTATACGACACAAAATAAAAAATTTAGGGATCTGTTGGACACAAATCGAAAGGCTAAGAACTTGTTAGATACTTTTTAAAGTTCAAGAAGTCAGTGGACACATCATTGAAAGTAAAGGACTGACCAAATACGCACAAACCTAAAAATCTAGAACTAAACATGTAACTCAATCAAGCATTCCATGTTCTAGTGATTCCATTTCATAACATACCTCTTCGTTCACTTGTTGTTTTTAGCTGCAAAAACTGCCATGAACCTGTTCGCGCACATGCCCGAAGCAACAAATAGAGAGAAAGAACTGATTAAAGCATGCACAGATCCAGAGCTGGTGAGCGCGATCATCGGGAATGCTCGGGTTACAGCGGCGGGTCTCACTCAGTTAAAGCAGAAGCAAAAAAAGGGAAAGAAAAGCAGCAAACAAGGAGCTGCTGCTAGCTAGCTCCATCTTGAGGTGTGCATTTTGGTGAAAGGGCAAAAAATCTGTCTTTTTTAAGCCTTAGCTAGAGAGCCTCTATTAATATCCCACCCATCTTACAAAGGAACCTTGTGCTTCAAACAAAAAACCTGCAATGTCTGTATATTAATATGTAGCCTTACAGATCACATATTACAAATGCCGAGTTTTCTTTTCTCTGATGTTTATGTTATTTTTTAATGACTTTTAAGCGCTTAAAAATAATTAGAAAAACACAAATAATAATAAAAAAGTGAAACGGGTTTGGAATGGAAATAGTGTACTCGTAATTATTTTGATGGTATGTGTAACGACCCAGATCCACTGCTAGTAGATATTGTCCTTTTTGGGATCTCTTTCGAGCTTCCCCTCAATGCTTTAAAACGTTGTCTTCTAGGGCAAGGTTTCCATAAGGGTAAGTTTTCACACCTTTACAAATGGTATCAATGTGTCAGCCTTCTCGCTGTTCCCTGAAGGGTGGTAGACACGAGGTGGTGTGTCAGTAAGGATGCTGGCCTTAAAGGGCGGTGGATTAGCCTTCTCGGTGTTCCCTAAAGGGAGGTAGACACGAGGTGGTGTGTCAGTAAGGACGCTGGCCCTGAAGGGGGTGGATTTGGGAGCGGTCCCACACCGATTGGAGTAAGGAAAGAGTGCCAGCGAGGACATTGGGTCTCAAAGGGGGGTGAATTGTGATGTCCCACATTGGTTAGGGAGGAGAACAAACCATCATTTATAAGGGTGGGTGTGGAAACCTTCCCCTAGTAGATGCGCTTTAAAGCCTTAAGGGTCAATATCATGCCATTGTGGAGAGTCAAACCGAAGCTGATCTGTCACGAGTCAAAGAAGCTGAACCACCGAATTTGTAAAAAAAGTTTGAAAATTAAATTGAACCCCACGATCTAGTCGATATGGCTAGTGTTGGGTTAGGTCAAGGTGAAAATTAAATCGAAACCCACAGTCTAGTCGATATGGCTAGTGTTGGGTTAGGTCAAGGTGAAAATTAAATCGAAACCCACAGTCTAGTCGATATGGCTAGTGTTGGGTTAGGTCTAGGGGTGGGTGGTTTAAGCTTCGATTACACTTACTCAATCGAACACAATTTTTTATATGATTTTGATTTTTAATAATATACATTATGGGTCGGGTCGATAATTTGGTATGGTTTTTGCCAAACTCGAACCGGACTGAATATATATAAAAAACAGACCGGGTTCGAACCGGAGCCAAGGATGGTTTCAATCAATTGAATAAAGAATTGAGAGCTCACATTTTTTGATATATAAAACGCGGGATACAAATTTCTCGCCGGAGCAGAAGATCAGGCGAGGGGATATGAGCTCATTGGCGCATCAACTTTGTGGATTAAGGAGTTCCCCTCTTTCTTCAACGCCGATTTCAACTCGGAAGCGCTTTTCTCCGGTAGTTTCTGCTGCAGCTTCCCCTACTCCCATTTCCAATGCGCAGACCAAAGAGCGCCTTAAGCTCAAGCAACTCTTCAAGGAAGCTTATGAACGTTGCTGTATTACCCCCATGGATGGCGTCTCCTTCACGCTTGAGGACTTCCATGCTTCTCTTGCGAATTACGACTTTGTTTCGGAAATCGGAACCAAGGTTAATCTGCTATTCCAGTTTCTTTCTTCTTCGTTTAGGTATTTGTTGTTTTTAGTCGTGGATAATTTTCTGTTCGATTTCCAGAACTGCGCGTTGTCAATACTCGTGCATTATTATCTTAACCTTCGTCGATTACGTTAGCGGAAATCATCGCTTTACAAAATCACTTTTATCTTTGTTTATGTAAAGGCGACTAGGGAATAATGGAATTATACGTCTTTGTTCGTTTTAGGGTACTGCTTGTCATGTACGAGGTTATGATTATTGAGCATTCCGTTGTTGAATTTTGGGCATAGATCGAGAAAAGTATAACTACGTGACTGGATTTGCGAAAAATTTTATTTCTGGAAGATTTTCTTTCGTTAGGTGGTTGTAACATCTCGATACACCAAATGTCATCAATCATTCCCAATTTCAAGAAACGTTCATCCTTACGCGTACAAAGTTTGAGAGTTTTCAATAGTTCCACCGAGCAAAAGTTGATTACAGAAAGAATTGGGCTAAACATTTCGAAAATTTGTGTCTTACAGCTGCAACTATGCAACTATTTAACTACCATCAGTTTATAGCCACCACAAATAAACCAGCTTAGTTAGGTAAACTTTAACCGACTAACTTTTTGGCTCCAGTATCAGATAACTAACATAAATCTGTGTCATTAATTTCCTTGATGTTTGCTCATGCATCTCATGAGCTAACGGATAACAGTTAGCTTCTCAATAAGTTCAAGTGATTGACTTTTACCAGTGTCTTGTATTCTCAGGTGAAAGGTACTGTATTCTCTACCGATGCTAATGGGGCACTAGTTGATACTTCTGCAAAGGGAACTGCATACTTGCCCACCCAAGAAGCATGCATTTTTAATATAAGACATGTAGAAGAGGCAGGCATATATCCTGGGTTAGAAGAGGAGTTTGTAATTATTGGTGGACAGGAACAGGAAGATGAAGGCAGCCTAATTCTGAGTTTGAGAAGTGTCCAGTATGGCCTTGCTTGGGAGCGATGCAGACAACTTCAAGCTGAGGATTTTGTTATCAAGGGTAAGGTGGGTTCTGCAAGATATATCTTGCTTCTGTAATTTCATTTTTTCCTTATATTGTTGGTTCAGATCTTTCAATCTTGTTATGCCAGTAGTATTCATGAGACCATTGCCACGGCTTTTCTTGAACCAGATTTATTCTATATGTCGTTCAATTGTGTTTTGATGAATTGTGGAGTAGTATTCATGTGACAATTGCCATTCATCTCTTTGAAGCTTCTCAAGTTCATAACCTAGTTGCAGGGCGGAGGCAACTAATGTTTTATCGTCTTTGTCAACCACTACAAACATGTTTTATGTAATATTAATCATCCTTGTCATTCACGGAATAATTTAAGATTTTGAACTTGTTTTCACCATTTTCTACTTTTTCTATATCTTTTTTTTTTTTGTTTTTTCTCAGAAAAAGATCTTTAAATGCAGGTTGTTGATGGAAACAAAGGTGGAGTAGTTGTTCTTGTGGAAGGCCTTAAAGGATTTGTTCCTTTCTCTCAAATATCAGCAGTATGTTCACTAAACTGACATTCTTTCTGCTGACTTCTAATTCTCTAGCTGACTTTATTTTTAAACTTTTATTATTTTTACATTGCTGTCATACTGAAAGCCCATACATTTTTACGTTTATGTGATTATATGATTAGATGCTCATGTTTCTGACCATTAAAGACCACAATTTGATTTTTCCTCACAGCTCATGAATTTATCTTGTATTATTATTTCTGTATTCTTTCATTCAGTGCTCGTTACTTTTGCTCATTATATTCTTCATCATTTTTAAGCTCATAAATTTTTGGTTCTTACTCAATTTGCATACTGTGCTATGCATCTCTTTTTCTTGTCGATTTATCAGAAATCAACTGCAGAGGAGCTGCTTAATAAAGAGCTACTTCTGAAGTTTGTGGAGGTTGATGAAAAACTATCTCGGCTAGTCCTAAGTAATTCCAAGGCAATTGCCAGTAGCCAGTCAGAGCTAAGAATTGGGTCAGTAGTTACTGGAATTGTGCAGATTCTGAAACCATATGGAGCCTTTATTGACATCGGTGGAGTTAATGGGCTTCTTCATGTTAGTCAAATCAGTCAAAATCACATATCAGATATTGCAGCCGTTCTTCAACCAGGAGATATGCTAAAGGTATTTCATTCAGTGAGAGCTTGTTGGAGGTCTTCGTCATTGTATAGCCTTGAACATGTTGAAATTATTTTTTATGGTTGTAGGTCATGATTTTGAGCTATGACCGCGACCGAGGCCGTATTAGTCTTTCTACCAAGAAACTGGAACCTTCTCCTGGAGACATGCTTCACAATCCAAAGCTTGTTTTTGAGAAGGTATTTCTTTTGCACTTTACTCTTCTTACTATTATGAGATGCATTGCTTTTATTTTCAGAGTGTATTCCTTTTGTACTTCCCAAGTCCAGTCGTCTTTTTCCCTCTCCTTACAGGTTAACCCCTAGCATGACTACAACCTTTATAGCTTGCATTTTCTTGAATCTCTTTTTCCCAAACTTACTGAAATAGAGTAGAAGTTTTTTATCTTTTGTATACAATTTTAGGCGGACGAGATGGCTCAGACATTCAGGCAAAGAATAGCTCAAGCAGAAGCAATGGCTCGTGCAGAGCTTCTCGAATTTCAGCCTGAGGTACTTCTTTCCCTGCCTTGGATTTTTCAACTCAATTCATGAATGGGAATTGAAAACTTTAGAACGTAATTAACTCCTCAATGCCAGAGTAGATAATGGATTGACTCAGCTTCGATGGGGTATTGAGTACACATACCCCTGAGTTGCCTGCAGAGGTTGTAGATATCACTTTTGTTTGTTTCCCCCAAAGAATAACAACGAGGAGTTATTATTCCTTGCTTCTCTCAAGTTAATAATTCCACAGTTAATTTAAAAATTTTGGACTTAATCTTATAAAACGTTCTGCCCTTCCAAAGTTATAGGGTACATAGGTCGACACTTTCTGGGCTTTGACCTTGCCTGACTCACTACAATATTTTTCCAACGGCCAAATACCATGAAAAAAAAATCCAGAAATGAACTAACTAGGTTCGGATGGTCAATCTTATCATTAAGTATCATTTTCCTGATTCACAATCCAATTCAATTCTTCAGTGCTCACTCTCTGGTGCTAGAAGCTTTATTACAAATTAGACCAGCAGATGAATGAAATTCTTTCTTTTCTCATCTCTGATGTGCTAGTTCAACTGGTGAGATTTGTTGTAGGACACATTTCTAGTACTCCTTTAGTACCATACTGCCATTTATCTTTAGCAACATCATTATTTTATGATATGCTATATTATTTCTTAGGTCCATGTTATTTTTGAATGCTGATGATGCGATTAGGATGAGCGATGATTGACCTGCCTTAATTTTGCATCAGTTTACCCACTTGCTGAAACCTCCCTCCATAGCCGAGTGAATGGCTGGATAGCCACTTAACAGTTATGAATAATGAAACATGAAAAAGAGTAAACCTTGTAGTCACGTATTACTAGACTTCCTCTATCCCACTCTCCTCCCTATCTCTCTCGACCCATCCACCGGAGTATGTTGGGCTGGAATGCTTCTATTCCTATCCCATCCTTGGTTTATGATCTCCGGGTCTTCCCGCTAATGAGCATTGATAAAAGTTAATCTTGTAGTCTTACAAAATTTTCCTCTATTAACAGTGTAAAACAATGTTTACATGGACAATTTCGTTTCGATATTAATCCTCCTTTAGTTGCATGATCCTTTCAACTAGGTATAGAAAGCTAGCTCAATTTGAGCATTTCTTTCAACTACAGCCAAGGACACCTTTAATTTTCAATAAGAACTTTTTTAGTTGTTACTTGATTTTCATTTCCATTTATGATCATCATTACTCTTGTCATATACAGTTTGAAACTGGATCATCTTCTATTGTTTTCAGTTTAGTCATAATTTCTTGTTTCTTTGAGGCTTTTTTGCACTTCTGATCTTGAATTAGTAATTGCATGTAGCTTTTGCTGGCAGAATTCATAGATGAAAGAGTGATTCTGGCGATTTATGATGGCCATCCTTCACAATGAGCCCCTCTCAATTACAAGGTATTGACACTTGAACTGGAATAATTGATTGTATTTATTCTCTAACATAGATTTGTGGATACCTTATTTTTAATTTTCTTCTCAATTGCATAATCAAAATAAGTTCTCGTTCGATAATCATTTAGTTTTTAGAAATCAACCTAATAGATGCTATTTTTACAACGTTTTCGAACTCCAAACCAAGTTTTGAAAATAAAATACTGTACTGTTTTTTGGAATTTGACGAAGAATTCAAATGAAAATCGTTTGAAAAGAAATTATAAGAAAATAAACAAAATTTTCAAAAACTAGTGTGTAATGTATTATTGATTCAATTACCTTTATCAACATTAATGAATTGACCTAGTGGTCGATAAAGGCTAAAGTTTATTAAAGTATCGATCAATACGAAGTCGTAAGCTCGGAATATTCTTACTTTTGTTCATTTCACAAAATTGCCTATCCTATCTCGATCTTAATACCCCGTTGTTATAACGAAAGAAGAAACTGAAAATGATATAACCTTTTTTTTTTCCCTTTTTCATTACTCTTAAAACGTGCTTATAAATTATACGATAATCCCATTTATCCGAATAAACTTTGTGATGCCTTATTTTCTAGTTTAATTAGCCCTTTTTTATTCTGTGTAATTTTTTGAGATTGAAGATAATAAATCTCTCGAACATGTTCATAAAATTATACGACAATCCAAGCTATCCACTTACGTTTAGATTATTCGAAGCTGGCGTTATTGCAATCATGTTTGTTTTGAAATTGTTTACCAAATTTTACTCGTATTTGATGTTGTTTACTTTAGTTGAAAATAACAAGTTTGAGGGAATGGAATACACTTAGCTGTGGAAGAAGACAATGTATTTATACGTCGTATTCTCCAAATAAAAACACACATATTTGGATGCCCTCATGCCTACAGGGACACTTTCCACAAAGCTAAAGTGATTGAATCGTGTGGACATCTTCTTCTCCAAACGATTCTCATCTTCATTATCGCTCGTAATATTACCTTTGATCTTTCATGAACGCTTTAAAAATTTCGTTACTATTTAGAACGGTCCTTCATAAGTCGACATTTGACTTTGATTTTACTTGAAACCTGGTTTTGTTTCCGTATACCTGATTTATTAACTAGAGTAGTTTGGTTGGTTCTTCCCTCCTAGTTCCCGGTAACTCGACCAACCTGTATTATCCAATCCAAACCATAAAGGTTGGGTTGTGTTAAAATTCGATGTCATTTTTTTTGGTCGGGTCAATGCAAAAGCAGGGTTACAACTTAATTCAACCCAACCTTACCCGAAAATATGTGGCTTAGGTTATGAACCCTATTTGGACGCTTGGGGTCACTAACTTAACCAACCCAAAATTTTTTAAGTTACTCAACCCAACCCGTATACACTCCTATTACGAATCATCCTCTTTTTCCCAAGGTTCGATAATCATACATCGAATCTATTTGATATGATGGGAGTTGCACGTGTCAGGGTCCCTATTTCCATGTAAAAAATAATATTACAAAATGTTGATAAATTTCATTATCATTGCATAAAATATTGCATATACAAGAATCGAATCATATGGGTTTCCTTTTTACTTTGTGTAGCGGCTAAGTCTAATTTTGGATCCTCACTTCAGACAAACGCCCATTTGATCACTTCCTTTATGGAATCCAATTCTTATTCAACCTCTAAAAATACCATACTCATACAAAACCATCAACTTCTCATTTTCCTTCTCAAAAATGACATTTATAACCAAACACCGAGCGTTTTGAAATAGGTTTCAATTATATCTATACACTCGAAAAATGAGAAGCTATTTAGCTAGCTCGATTAAATAATAAATTTTAGTCTTAACGATAAGGGTATTCATGTAATTTTAACTATTGCTGAAATATTTTAGCTCGGTTTATCGAAAATTATGCTCGTTTCCTCATAATTTATGTAAGTTTTTTATTTATTATGAGATAAATATAAAAAATAAAATAGAATTTTTAGAAATTATATATATATATATATATAGTTTTCCAAATTTAGCCGGGTTTTTTCAAGCATTTTTTTAAAGCTAAGTAATAAAATAATAAAATTGTAGGTAGAAATATTATGTATATTTTTGGACAAGAGAATCTCCGTGTAAATGAGGAACGAGGGTGGGAGGAGAGATTTTCCCCTATCAGCTAAACGGAACACGAGACGGAGATTACCATCTTGTCCCTAACTGCAACCTCACTCCAACCCTAGTCCCACTCCATTCCGCCTCAAATTTAATTTTTTAGAAATTATATTATAATCATTATATTATATTTTTCTCTAATGAATTATTATTGAAAAAAAAAAAGTAAAATATCCGTTGGAAACCCGATCCCAATAGCTTTCTCGCAGTAAATCCCGATCCTAATCTTCCAAAAAAAAAAAAATTAGAATTTCGTGTTGATGGGAAATAAAATAAGAGACAGAGACATAAATACTTAATTTTCGAGTTTCATAATATTAAAAAATAATTATCCAAAAAATTAAAAAAATTCATCTAAGATCATTAACTTTAAACGTGCACATACATACATACATACATACATACATACATACATACATACATACATACATGTATGTGTATATATATATTTATATAAATAGTTAGTGTTGTTCATATGGAATTATAATATATTAAAATCAAATGTGAACAGATTCTTAAATTCATCTACCTCAAATTTGTCCATTTTGTTTATCTCACAGAAAAATAAAAGAGTTCACATTGGGAATCTTATTATTATTTTTAATAAAAAAAATTGAGAATTCTAAACTCCATGGATCCCTCCAAAGCTTAAGGATAGGATTCCAACTCTCTTTTATCTTCTATTGTTTCACAAACTAAGCTCTATAAATACCTCCCTCCCTCCCTCCCATCCCTCCTCAACTCAACCTTCAACGACCGACCAACACCTCGAAAGCTTCCCTCTATCTCCTCCGTCCCTCCCTCGACATGTCTCCCACAGCTCCCCTTGATAGCCCCATCGAGTCGATCGAGGCCTCGAAAAGGGCATACGTGACGTTCCTAGCTGGTAATGGTGACTATTGGAAAGGTGTGGTAGGATTGGCAAAAGGCCTTAGAAAGGCCAAAGCCATCTACCCTCTCATTGTAGCTGTCCTCCCTGATGTTCCTGAAGACCATCGTCAAATCCTCGAGAATCAGGGTTGCATCGTCCGTGAGATCGAGCCTGTTTACCCTCCGGAAAACCAAACCCAGTTCGCTATGGCTTATTACGTTATCAACTACTCAAAGCTCAGGATCTGGGAGGTACTAATACTATGCACGTTCGTTTGTTTTTTTAAAGCTTACCGTAATCTATCAGCTTAACCTTTTGAAACGATTGATTTGATTGCAGTTTGTGGAGTACGAGAAGCTCATATATTTAGACGGGGATATCCAAGTGTTCGAAAACATCGACCATCTGTTCGACATGCCGAATGGATACTTCTACGCCGTGATGGATTGCTTTTGTGAGAAGACATGGAGCAACTCTCCACAATACAAGATAGGGTATTGCCAACAATGCCCTGATAGAGTGAAATGGCCTGTGGAGGAAATGGGAAACCCTCCACCTCTTTACTTCAACGCTGGGTTCTTTGTGTATGAGCCTGATCTTTTCACCTACAAGGATCTTCTTGAGACTTGTAAGGCCACAACTCCGACTTTGTTCGCCGAGCAGGTAATCGTTTAGAGTAATACTTAGCTTCCCGTCCTTTTTTTTTCAACCCAATCCAATCACACAATACACAAGACTAGACTGGAGCACAAAAGGTCGGTGCAGTTTAGTTAGTACACAGGTAGATTGGAAAATCTCGAAAACACGAGTGCACCTGAGTAAATTAGGGTTCCAGCTGGTTGTCAAGTATTACTCTTAAATTTATCCACGTTCTTTTTCACGTAGGTATACTGTGTCTGTAAATCTTTGAACTCGATATATTTCCAGGAAAACCCAAATTTTTCTTATTCTATGTCTAGAAAGTACGTACCGTAAAAAATACAAAATTCAGGGATTCGTTGAATATAACCCTAATTTTTTTTCTTGTACAGGACTTCTTGAACATGTACTTCAACGACATATACAAGCCCATTCCACCAATTTACAATCTCGTCTTGGCCATGTTATGGCGTCATCCCGAGAACGTCGATGTTGACAAAGTCAAAGTCGTCCACTACTGTGCTGCAGTACGTATTTCTAACAGACCAGTACTTTCATTTCACTACGTTGAATAAAATCTTAAACTCACCATCGAAAAACGTACATATATAGGGATCGAAACCGTGGAGGTACACGGGAGAAGAAGAGAACATGGATAGAGAAGACATAAAAATGTTGGTGAAGAAATGGTGGGAGGTGTATGAAGATGAGTCTTTGGACTACCAAAATGTCATCAAATCTGAGACCAAACAGGACACTAAGCTCACACCTTTGATGTCTGTCCTGTCTGAAGCTGAAGTAGTGAGCCATATCACAGCCCCTTCAGCTGCTTAAATTAATAATCCCTAAATTATGTATAATTAATTATTAATTATAAGCTCTAAGTGTGTGTGCTTAATTAAGCTTTTATGTATGGTAGCTCTGGTGGGGGCCACCACGTTGACTTTTCAAATTTTATGAATAAGGCTGTTTTTAGCTGCCTTTCCTTTTTGCTTTATTTTTCTTCTCTTAATTAATTATATATTTTTAATCGTCGAATAAAATATTAATTATCATCGTAAATATAATTTATAAATATATGGTTAGGTCAACCCATCGTAATCATCTTGACCAATGTGAAAACCGATTCTTAATTATTATTATTAGATTAGTCGGTGTATTTTCAAAAGTTCAATTAAGAATTTGAAAAATTCGATCAATCCAGCTCGATTAAGGTTCGAGTTAGATTATAATTTATTCGGGGTCGGTTGAGTATAAAAATTTTGTTTATTGAGTTCATTTATAAGTTCATCTAAACTAAATTTGAGTTTTAAACCGAACAAATTTAGATTTTTTTTTTGTGTGATTATTCATTTTTCAACCCCTCTTAAAATAAATTTTTGAAATTTTGATTCGAGGATTGAAAATAAATAAATAAATAAATATTTTATAACTAATGAAGTTGAGTTTATTATTTTATAAGGATTTTTTTTTTAAATATTAATATTTTGGCGATAAAATTTGAAAAAAAATGTCATTTTTCGCATGGAAATTATTATATTTAACCATTTTCCATAAAAATTAGTTTTAATAGACTAATTTAAAATTTATTGAAATTACAATTTTAATAATATATATATATATATATATATATATTTATATTGGGCCGAGTCCGAACCGGGACAACTAGTTCAGGTGATTCCATTGAAAGCCCTAAACCTCGCGAGAGAGAAATCTTTGGATGGCTACGAGCAACAACCTCCATGGCTCTGGTACTCCTCTTCCTTCCATGTTTCCTTTGTGTTATGTGGTGTAGATTTTTTAGAATTGAGTAATCCTTTACGAACAAGGAGGCACGCTCATTGATCTTCTCTTTTTTACTTCCTTTTAATTTCCTGTTTGCTGTCATATTACCAGAAATGTATGATCGTGAACCGAATTCACATCCAGCAGGTTATTTAAGATGGACGATTTTTCTTGTTCTTAGTTGCGCTATAATTATCTCTTTGAGTTGAACCTTCTATTGTTTGTTGAAGTCTAAGGAGCGTATTGAGGATTTCTAGTATTGAGATAAAGTTATGAATTCTCTGTGGGCTCAACGAGGGGAGAAAAGTATTTTAATTCTATATGTTCGTCTTTTGGTACTGGTCAAAATTTTCGGAATTTCATTGAGTGGTTAAGTCTGCATAAAGTTGTAGGCGTCGAAGATTTGCGATACTTGGTGGTGGGTGCTCGAAATAACTTACCTTAACCCCCTTTTTGAAACCTTTTTTTTTTTTTTTTGTTTGCTATAATTGTATTCAAGCCTTCCGGATTATATAAACTATAATGTATAGTTTTGGTTTTTTTTCTTCTTTCCCTAACTAGCTGCTTAAATTTCATAAGTACATCCTGTTTACCGTCTCTCTTTTTTTTTTTTACAATACCTTCTTATAAAGAGTTCCTTCAATTTTCAATGTTACAATAGTTAATTTCCAGACCTATAGGGATTTTTCATTATTTCATGTTTTGACCTTCGAAATTATGTTTTCGGTCTGTTCTGAGATGTGGAATTTATATTTTGAAGATATTTTCTCTTATGAGTAAGATTATTTGAATGAACGAAAGTCATTGTTCTCCTTGAAATACTGGAAAGAAGAGTCTTGCTGTTGATTGGCACTTTATCGTCTTTTGGTTGTCTTCTGGTTATCTTTATTTTCTGGACCGTGTTAAGTGTTTAATTTCCATTAATACTTAATACTCTTTATGTCACTTCATTATCAAAGCATTAGTTGATCCTCTTTTATCAAGTATCGATCCATGTATAGTAACATTAAATGCGAGGTTTGCAGCTTTTCCTATTTTTCCTCAGAAGGTTGACTTTTTTCATTTTATATGTCAGATTCTGTGAATGAAATGCTAATGGAATCGGCTAAAGAAGGATCTGGTCATATGAGTTCAGAGGGAAAGCCCAATGACACAGGTGAGCAGAGGAAGCAGACTAGAAGTCGTTTATCGTTTTAATTCTTTTCCTTGCTATACATTTTTTTATTTGCATGTTAATTTGTTGATTAAGAGGTATGATGATATTCTTCTTTATTATGCTAGAAATAAAAGCGCGTGTCAATGCCATGTGGGAGCAAATGAATAAAGGGGTGTCTAGTAAAACACTAAAAGGTTTGTCAACCAAACGAAGTCCAGTGGTGAATAAAAACTCAAAGAAACCATCCAATGTAAAAAATCACATTCTGCTCTTTCATGATGAGGCAGCTCAAAATTTAGGAAAAATATCTCTTACTTTTTCTCTCTCCATCTTCCCCGTGTCTAGAATTGGATTGCATATCTAGGTATGGCGTCAAAGAAGATTGAACCTCAAGAAAAAGATACATTATCAGAAGGACCCAAGGTTCTGCAGGACAGTTCCATGGATGATGCTAAGATGCTTGCTGCTACTGCTCTCTCAGCTGTTAGGGATGCTACAGCTACCATTTCTGGCAGGGGGAAAGTTGAGGTGCCAATACTTTCATATCTATTTTTATCTGTTTTTCTACCCTTTTAGGTGTGTGATTATCTAGGCACTTGGTTTTCTATTGTTACGAAACATATAGAGCTGAAGATGGATTTATCTATGTATGTCATTTGGTCAGTTGGTTGAATAATTGTTTAGATAATTTCTTCGTTGTTGGTAATGAAGGAGAACTTCCTTCTGTCATGATGCATGGGTAGGTAAGAAACACCCTTCTACTTCCATCTCTCTATCTCTCTCTTCCTTCCTCTCCTTCTCCCCTCTGTCCTTTTTTTGGTGATTTTTCTACCAAAAAATGTTTTGGTCTTTGATGCGTGTCAATAAGAAACTCATTCTTGGAGAATGGGTGTGAGAAGAAACTTACGGAAGGAGGAAAAGAGATTGCAGTTGTACTTGACTTGACTAATGAAATGAATCAAGGAAAGATAAAAGAGAATAAAAAGTGGATCTGTCTAGAACATTCTCGGTGAAATTTTTGGTGAAGCTACTTTACTGAAGGGTAGATACTTGCTAGAAACTGAAAATCCGAAAGAAGTAATTGTTTTGTTGTGGATACTAGAGTTGGGTGGCATTAATGCAACATATTACTTGGTGAAAAAGTGTCCCCTGTTGCTTTTAGGGAAAAAAAAAAAAAAAAAGAATAAAAAGGGTCCTTGTTGCTTTAAGCTTCCTACTGCATTTTTTGCATACAGGCAGGGAAGGATCAAACGTACTTGTCTTTCTACGTTCTTATGGCAGAAAACGTTGGGATAATTCTATGTATTGTGGTGTTTCATAGCGGTTGGAAAAATTCCCTAACGAGGGTAACATATATGATATAACCTTAACCTCGTAGTATAAAGCTCAAAGCCAAAGCTAAATTGTTATGGAGTGCCATTAGACCAATCATTGAGAGGATTTGATTTGAAAGAAATCAAATTAGAGAAGTTTTTAGAATTGGTGGAGAATGAATATTACAAAATATCAAGCCTCTTCTTGGTGTGGCCTGTCTATTGTACTTTGTAACCATACCTCCAATATAATTAAATTTTACTTCGGGGTTTTTCTTTATACAATGAGATTGGTTAGGCTTACATTTTCCTTTTGTAAGTTCTGATAATTGGGTGCTACTTTGCACTCTCCTAATAGGGAGTCTCAACTTCCCAAGTATCACCAGAAAGTTGTTTACTGCTCAAAAAGTAAATATATTAATGACCCTGGTGTTAATTCTGAAAGTTTGGCTTGATTATATGACTACCTAGCCTGTCTATGGATAATCGTTGCGTGTTTCTTCTGGCATTTAGGACAATAGTTGTTGTGGTATTTCCTTTTCTTTGGTTAATTACTAGTTTTGGTGGGTAGGAGAATCAAAAGGTGTGAATCAAGATTTTACGACGTCATGGGTGAAGTTCGGTAAGTCAGGGCTTGGGTGGGATGTATGGGAGAGTCCTCCAAGGGGTTGATGGTCCTGATGTTTGATAACTGTACTTGCTTTATGATATCATCTTTAATAAAACCAGCAAGTTTTGCATTGTTTATATTGATGATCTGTTAGTTGAAGAACACAAACCATTGTCCTTTTACTTTTAACAGATCACAGAGATTAGGGACTTCGCAGGCCAAAATGTTGAAATTAAGAAGTTTGTAGATGCTGATTCTAAGGAAGCATACGAGAAGATGAAGGCACCTGCTACTTCAGCTGTTGATGCAATCCTGGAACAAATCAAGAAGAAACAAAAGCTTAGTGTTCTTGACAAGACAAAAAAGGACTGGGGAGAGTTCAAGGAAGAAACCAAGGGGTTGGAAGAGGACTTGGAATCTTACAAGAAGAGCTCAAACCAGTATCTCGATAAAGTTTCGTTCTTGCAGCGAGCCGATTACAGGGAGTTTGAACGAGAGAGGGATGCACGGTTGGCTCTGCAGGCCAGGAGGAGGCCTGATATGCGAGAGGAGCCATGATTAATAAACCATCAAGAGAAGCAAGCTCTGTGGAGAATGTGCCGTAAGTATTTAAGGTTGTTCTTGAATTTCTTGTGCGTATCACTTCCAATAGGCAGTACAGTCGGCTCAGATGATTTGGAAGTGAGTAATGGTTCGTTGTGTGCCCATGGCGTATTCTGATATCTGCGTGACAAAAACTGCAAATCATGCTTCGACGTAAATCTTGGTCTCCTACCATCTGAAAGATTTCTTGTAGCACTTATCTTTCATTCTTCTGTTGTGTACAGACAAATCTTGGAGCTACGGTTGGTTACTCAACGGATTAAGGCATCTATACTAATATGAGCATAGCTTAGCCAGTAGTATGTGTTATCAACAAAAAGGTCAGAGGTTTGAATTTTTATCTCTCGTATTATTGAACTAAAAAAATGATTAAAGCATATATTCTTACGAGAGAGGGTAGATATATTTATTTACCATGCAAGGTAGGAGTTTCCACAATAGAGGTAGAGATATTTATTTACCATGCAAGGTAGGAGCTCATGGAAACTCCGGTTTAGAGGTAGAGATGTTTATTGAAGCTGTAGGATAGGTCTTGTAGAAACTCCGGTTTAAATGGAGAATGAGAATGAGGGAGGAAATGGGGAGAGATTTCTCCTTGTTAGCTAGATAGGTCTTGTACTACCCTATTTGGAGGGCGGAGAATTAAAATAGATGGCAAGGACTAAGAGTTATCTTAAATTCATCTTACATATTCAAAATATTTTAGTCTCATTCTTTGCATTCTCTCACTTAGAAGGTCACTTAAATTCTGAATACGTACCAAAAAACGTGTTAGCATGTTATGCACATGAGAGATGGGAATGCATCAAAGCCAAGTCTTTCTAGGATATATTCCAGGATCGCGAGTATTCAATTAGAGCCTTACTTTTACTCGTTTCAATTAAGAACCACCGTTATCTCATTTATACGTATCCAAAAATAAATGTATATAACTTTAAAATAAAGTAGACTTTATTGCTCCATTTTGCAACTCAAACACTACTTTTTAAATCTCAATATTAGACTAAACAACTTAAGATTTGACAATTTAATTCTATACCCAAAACACCTTTTAACTGTGTAATTGTGATTCCCCAACTTAAGCTCTGAAACGTGTCATCTTTCTATCACGAGCTTTGAAACGTGTCATCTTTCTATCATTCTCTTCCCCAAAACACTTGCACAAATTACAAAGCCATTCTCCTTTTTCTCTACACGTGATATATCATTTATTAAATTACCAAGACAGAGACTTTGCTCAACCCAATTTCATTTCTCTCTAGCCAAATTACTAAAACACCCCCAACTTTTGTCACTTCTCCAAAAATATCTCTAACAAAAAATATTTTAGAGTAAAAATCTATGAGAATGTTGAATGAAGGTCGAGATTAAGAGCACTACCCAATACACGTCATTCTGAGTCACGGTCACGCCCATTTCAAATCTCAAGTTCCATCCAAATCTAACAAGTAGACGCCTATTTCAAATCTCAATTTCCATCCAAATCTAACCCGTACGACGGTTGTTTCAAAAACGGAAGTTCCTTTTGGCCTTTTTTTGACAGATGGAAGTTGGAGAACCACGAGATTTGAAAAGAGCAGCCCGTGAGGAGGAAGGATTATAATTCCATAGAAGAATATACAGATTTGAAACCAAAACGTGAACACAGGCAAATACCACAAAAGCTAAACAACAAAACAAGATACAATCACGAGACTCAAACTCTGCCCCTCTCTCCATATTACCTTTTCTTTCTCACTTTTTGCACTTACCATTCTTTTTCACATCAATTTTCTGGTCTACAAACGCCTACACTCCCTACCCACCCGCCATCTCGGCTTTGTTGTCGGTATTTCACCTCCCCTTCTCGACTGATTTTGTGAGATCCCACAAGTCAGAAATTGGGCAATGTGTCAGTGAGGAGGCTGAGTCCCGAAGAGGGTGGACATGAGTTAGTTTACCAGCAAGGATGTTGGGCTCCAAAGGGAGATGGATGGAGGAGTCCCATGTCGATTGGAGAAAGGAACGAGTGCTAGCTAGGACCCTAAGCCCCCAAAGGAGATGGGTTGTTAGATCCCACATCAGTGGGAGAGGAAAATCAAACATTCTTTATAAGGGTGTGGAAATCTCTCCCTATCAAACACGTTTTAAAAACCTTGAGGGGAAGCCCAAGTCCAAAGAAGACAATATGTGCTAGCGGTGAACTTAGGGTGTTACAGATCTTCTGTCATAAACACGTATCTAAAAAAAAAACAACACTTTTGGTCCTTGAACTTTCATCAAAGTAATAACTTAGTCCTTAAGTTTTAATATGTAACAATTTAGTCTCGAACATGACCTGAATTTTATTATGTAACAATTTGGTCTCTATTCTTCAATCAACAATTTGTCTAGCCTCATGCCACGATGAAGGGAGTGGAAGGAAAACGCTCGCAGTTCCAACAACCAACGAAGAGCTCCTCAGTATACAATCGCACACAGTAACTAGGAGTCCTACTACACCTAAAGCCAACTTCAATTCACCAAACCAAGATTCATCTCGTATAGTGATTGTGAACTCATACAAGGATATTAAGTAGACATTTGATATATCAAACTCGACGTACAACTGTTAGAAAGTTGTCAATTTACCAAGACTAGAGCCATTAGTTGATGGTTAAGATTAAATACAGTGGACTCCTCTTTTAAAAGTACAGAGACTAAATTATTACATCCAAAAGTTTAAGGACTAATTTGTTACTTTTACGACGTCAACCGACCAAAAGTGCTCCGAATCCAACAGAGCCTGAGATCTCTCTCTCAGGACCTGCCATGTTCATTCCATGCAAATGAACTGCAGCCATATAACATATCATTTTTTACTATAATACCCTCCCCTTCACATCGGTCGACACGTGTTCTCTTTCTACAGGTTAGTACTTTTCTTTCTATATATATATATATATAAAGCTTCTGTCCAGCCATAGCTTAAGGTTCCATGGAGTTCAATGGGGCTCTCATTGTAATGGCTTGGATTACAGCCATTGTGTTGGTGCAAAACTGTAGCAATGTTCATGGAAGGTACCATTTTCATAAGGGACAAAGGACACAGAAGCCTGGTGAAGACCCTTGTTCTGATGCACCGCCGCCTTATTCACCACCGGAGGAGGCAGTTCCTTCTAGTCCAGCTGAGTCAGCTCCTTCGACTCCAGCTGAGTCAGCACCTCCAGCTGAGCCAGCTCCTTCAGTGCCAGCTGATCCTTATCCTGATGATCCTGGAAACTCCACTGCTGACTGTGTGTTTGATGTCACTGATTTTGGAGCAGTTGGGGATGGTTGTGCTGATGACACTGCTGCCTTCAGGGCAGCATGGAAAGCAGCCTGTGCTGTAGAATCTGCCACTCTTTTAGTTCCTTCGGATCGTTGCTTTAAAATTACTTCAACTATCTTTACCGGACCTTGCGAACCGGGACTCGTGTTTAAGGTCAGTAGTGCTATTTCAATTTTGAATTTTTAGATCGGTTTGGAATGACTTTTTAAGTAGAATTCATTCGGGAACTTATAAGTAGGTGGATGGGACCCTGATGCCACCGGATGGACCGGAGTCGTGGCTGAAAACGGACAGTCCGAGACAATGGCTTGTGTTTTACAGGTTGGATCAAATGACATTGACTGGAAGTGGAACCATTGAAGGGAATGGCCAGAAATGGTGGGAGTTGCCATGCAAACCACATAGGGTACCTACATTGCATTTATTTCACTTCACTTTTTGTTTACTCTTGAATATCTCTTTCTTTATGTGGGATCCTACCGTCTTTATAAAGGGTGTGAAAACCTCTCCCTAGTAGACGTGTATTAAAAATCTTGAGGGGAAAGTCCGTAAAGGAAAGCTTAAAGAAGACAATATCTACTGGTGGTGGGCTGGAGTTGTTACAAATGGTATCAAAGTCAAAACACCGGGCGATGTGCCAACGAGGAGGCTGAGCTCCGAAGGAAGGTGAACACGAGGCAGTGTGCCATCAAAGACGCTGGCCCCAAAGGGGTGGATTGCGGGGTCCCACATCGATTGGAGAAGGTTTCCACACCCTTATAAGCAATGTTTCGTTCCCCTCTCCAACCGATGTGGGATCTCACAATCCACCCCTTTGGGGGCCCAACATCCTCACTGACACACCGCCCGCTCTCATACCATTTGTAACAGCTCAAACCCACTACTAACAAATATTGTCCACTTTGGCCCGTTACATATCGCCGTCAACTTCATGGTTTTAAAACGCATCTACTAGGAAGAGGTTTCCACGCTCTTATAAGGAATATTTCGTTCATCTCTCCAACTGATTTGGGTTCTCACAATTAGTTGGAAAGGGAAACGAAACATTCCTTATAAGGATGTGGAAACAAGGTTTTAAAAATCTTTAGGAAGAGTCAAAAGAAGACAATATCTGCTAGCAGTGGGCTTGGACTGTAACGACTTAACTGTTCCTTGCAGGGTCCAAATGGGTCGACTCTCCCCGGACCATGTGACAGCCCTGCGGTGAGAATACAAAGAATACAAAAAGCACATTTTCAATCTTCACCCAATACATATGAACCACAAAGGGTGGCTGAATTATGACCTCATTTGGGTTTTTCAGCTGATAAGATTCTTCATGAGCACCAATTTGGCAGTGAGTGGGTTGAGAATCCAAAACAGTCCACAGTTCCATATAAAATTTGATGGCTGTGAAGATGTTCTTATACAAAAGCTATCAATATCTTCCCCAAAGCTCAGTCCCAACACTGATGGCATCCACATACAGGATACCAAGGGGGTTGGAATATACAACTCCATCATATCCAATGGTATCCAACTTTGAATCAATGCCTTGCTCCTTTCAACCATCAACCTTTATTTTGCTGATATGGTTTGAAAACATAGGTGATGACTGCATTTCAATTGGGCCTGGCTGTACCAATGTGGACATTGAAGGCGTCACTTGTGGGCCGGGTCATGGAATTAGGTACCAACTGTAACAACTCAAACCTACCGCTAGCAGATATTGTCTCTTTGGGTTTTCCCTTTCGAGCTTCACCTCAAGATTTTAAAATGTGTCTGTTAGGGAGAGGTTTTCACACCCTTATAAGGATTGTTTCGTTCCCCTCTCCAACCGATGTGGGATCTCACAATTCACCCCCTTGGGAGACTAGCGTCCTCGCTGGCACACCGCCTTGTGTCTGGCTCTAATACCCTTTGTAATAGCCCAAACCCACCGCTAACAGATATTGTCATCTTTGGTTTTCCCTTTTGGACTTCCCCTTAAGGTTTTAAAATGCATCTGTTAGGGAGAGGTTTCCACACCCTTATAAGAAATGTTTTGTTACTCTTCACAATCGGTTGGAGAGAGGAACGAAACATTTCTTATAAGGGTGTGGAAAACCTCTCCCTAACAGATGCGTTCTAAAACCGTGAGGCTGACGGCGATATGTAACAGACCTAAGCGGACAATATCTACTAGCGATGGGCTTGAGCTATTATAAATGGTATAAGAGCCAAATACCGGGCGATGTGCTAGTGAGGACGCTGGCTCCAAGAGGGGTGGATTATGAGATGCCACATCAAAGGGAGAGAGGAACAAAACATTCCTTATTAGGGTGTGGAAACCTCTCCTTGGTAGACGCATTTTAAAACCTCAAATGAAAGCCCAAAGAGGAGAGGAACAAAACATTTCTTATAAGGGTGTGGAAACCTCTCCTTGGTAGACGCATTTTAAGACCTCAAATGGAAGCCCAAAGAGGACAATATCTACTAGTGGTGGGCTTCGGCTATTATAAACCAACAATGTCAATCTCCACTTCTTCTTCTTAACACAATCAAACATAGTGTAACTAATGGTTGTATGTTTGGTTTTGGAAAAGAGCAGCATAGGGAGCCTGGGAGTCCACAATTCCAAGGCATGTGTATCCAACATAACAGTAAGAAACGCAGTGATCAGAGAATCAGACAACGGTGTAAGGATCAAGACATGGCAAGGAGGGTCGGGCTCAGTGAGCGACATCTCGTTCGAGAACATACAAATGGAGAATGTTAGGAACTGCATCATAGTAGACCAATACTACTGCTTAACAAAGGATTGTCTGAACCAGACATCAGCTGTGTTTGTGAACCAGGTATTGTACAAGAACATCAAAGGAACATACGACGTGAGGAACACTCCAGTTCACTTTGCTTGCAGTGACACAGTGGCCTGCACAAACATTACCATGTCTGAAGTAGAGTTGCTGCCACATGAAGGCGAGCTGGTGGAAGATCCTTTTTGTTGGAATGCATTTGGGATTCAGAAGACATTGACCATTCCTCCCATTGATTGCTTGCAAGAGGGTGAGCCTCAGAATGTTGCAGAGACCCCTGAATATAGCTGCTAAAGAGTGCCACAGCAGAGCCAGGCAAGAGCCATTTTGAGCAAATGGGTCTTGTTTATTGTGGCTTAGGCTCCAAGTTCATCCCTTTCTGGGTTTGTTTTTAAGCTTCCCATATTGAGTGATGTGATGCCCTGTTGTAGAATGTAGAATAAAGATTGAGTCTTTCTCTTGTTGAGATGTATAAGTGAGTTAAGGGACTGAATGTCTATAAGCAACCAATAGAATATAGTCTGACATCATTAGAACAAGCAGATGAGGCGGACATTGTCGCTTCATTGTTTGTTTCTATGGTATTCCTAATTGTGAGATCTCACATCGATTAGAGAGAAGAGCGAGAACGCGGGGTTTCGAAGGAGGTGGGTTGTGAGATCCCACACTGGTTGAAGAGGAGAACGAAGCATTATTTATAAGAGTGTAGAAACCTCTCTCTTGCCGACGCGTTTTAAATACCTTAAAGGAAAGTGCAAAAGAAAAAACGCAAAGAGGATAATATCTGTTAGTCGTGGGTGAATAATGTCCACTCAATTTGGGATAATGGTGGGGCTTACAACATTCAAACAAATATGAAGATGGTGGAATGCAAATTCATCCCCACCAATTACACTGAAAATGGACAACACAGCCAACCCTTCTGGGATCAGACTTCAAAACAGAGAGATGATAACCCAAAGGGTCTGAAAACATACTCGAGTGACTGAAGCCTTTCCATTGAACTACTTCCTGAGTGTGAATTATCGGGTAGCCGGGCATGCACTCTAGCTGTTTAGACTCTATAGGAACAAGTTTGAACCGGTTGACTCAAGGATCAAGCTATGCAATGATGAAGAATCTCTTTTCAATCACTCAAATGCGATAGATATATTAGAAATCATGACTCTCTACAATAGTATGATATTGTCCACTTTGAACGTAAGCTCTCATGAATTTGCTTTTGGTTTCTCAAAATGTATCTTACTTATATAAATCCATGATTCTCTCATTAGTTAGCCAATGTTAGACTCCTCTCCCCGTTAATTGGGTCTCGACTCCTTTTTTAGAGGTATGAACAAAGAAACACTCTTTGTTCAACACTTGGTCACTTTTGACGATATCTTTGAGGCTCACAACATTTTTTTTCAACACTTTTAGTTAGCACGACTAAATTAAGAACACACTCTTATACCATGTTAAACATCATGATGTTTTCCTTTTTTAGCATAATCCTTTGAACATAATCTCTCATGATTTTACTTTTAGTTTTGTCAAAAGACCTCGTACCAATGGAAAAACCTCATACCAATGGAAATAGTATTCGTTACTTATAAACTCATAATTTTCCTCTTAATTAGCTAATGTGTGACCCTCTCCCAACAATCCTCGACAAGATGTGGTATAACAACCTTCTAATTATACCCTAAAATATTAAATTCTAAGTAGATAAATTAGTTGCTAACTTATATCCCTGTCTTCTTCCCTCCCAAACTTGCAACAAAAGATCTCAGAATCAACGCTCATTAATTACAAAAAAGAAGATTCCTTTGGTAGTTCAACTTCAAAACAAATTTTCACAACATTATATTTAAGATGTATGGGGAAATGATGAAGCGGCTGATAATACATTTGGAAATTTCAATTGCTTTAGTAAAACATCAACATGGCACAAAGAAGAAACCCAGCAAACAACCACCCTCTACATCACAACATTGGCCAAATAAACGAAGACAGTCGCGATAATAGCGTCTAAGGCTGCCCGAAATTTTCCAGTATACCGTTTTCGAGTATCTCCATCAGTTGTGTTGGGACCCATTTTTGAGAAATGCATCTTCTTTGCAAAGCTGCAGAGCTTTAGGATCGAGCGGAATGGTTCCCACCGTCAAAACATCATAAGTTTCAGTGTTATATCCATTAACTTCGATTGGCATTGAGCCTACAGTGACAACTTCAGCAGCGTGCTTGGAATTTGCATCACTCGCAGCACCTGGTGTGGCCTCCAAAGGCTTCTCAGCCACTTTCTGGCCAATTTCAAGTGATTCCATCTTCAGAGTCAACGAATCATCAACTTTTTCGTCAACATCGTGCTTGGGGGGATTTTCCTTCACTACCACAGCACCAGTATTGCCAGGATTTGAGTAGACATGCTGCTCAGCTCTCGAGGCTACACTCCGATCCAACACCCTCAAACCATCATTGGTCTTGTCGAGGTTCTTATCATCTCTCAAAGGCAGCTCAATTACACAATTTAGCTGTCGACTATGATTTAATGCAGGTACGAAATATGGGCGCTCAAGCCTTCTAATAACCAACCTTGCTTTCTCCTCCTGCATGATCTTCTGACGGTTTTCATAATAAATGAAGTCGTCGAGTAAAGAGGTCTTTAATGTATGACTCTTGAATAATTTTAGCATCTCCAGACCTTTTTTAAACGGTATCTGCAAAAGAAAATATAATTAGTTAACATATTGTTTGAAAGAAGTTAGAACCAATTTGACTGTTGGAAAACAAGTACTGGCACTTAGTTACGCTACTAACTAGATAGTAGATCAATTCTAGAGTACGATGCCAATCAAATCAAATTATCAAGGAACACAACATCAAACTTCCAAAATATTGGCACTTCACTCCTCTACTAACAGTTTCGGCATCAAAAAAGAACACCAAGTAGCAAGGCTATGCTTTCCATAATCGCTTCAATAGAATCACATCCACAAGAAGTTTGATCAATCCACAAGACTTATGAATGCAAATGTAACCTATCAGAGGGTGGCAAGATATCCAAATTACTCCCCTAAACAGAACATAAGAAAATGGATGATATGCCGCCGAATTAATCGAAGAAATATTTTCTACGAATAAAGATACTACTGGACTGGATAGAAAATAACAAATCTACTTACCTCTTGAGTATCTCTGCTATTAGTAACGGGTTTGTTCTCATTATTCTCCAAAATGACATGCCTAAAATAGTTGTTTGGCACATCTTTGATAATGTGCCACTTAACAGGGAAGCTTCCATTCCATTTATCCTGCTGCCAGAAATCCATATCCCTGCTGAAGTCCACAGGGCTAACCATCTCTGCTACACCACAGAACTGACCACTAGCATTGACCTATATAGAAAGGAATTAAATCAAAAACCTCAAAGGAAAAAAGAATATTTAATATCACAAAATCTGAAAAGAAACAATGAACTTACAGAGAAAAATAGGAATACAGGACAGCTTCTTGATTTTGCTGAAACTATTCTCCGTGCATCTTCGTATGCAAAATTCAGTTTCTTATTCCCATTGGGAGTAGACGACCAAACATTATACTTAATGCTCTTGTGAACATCATCCTCACTGTAAGATTTTATTACAAAAAATTTTGCATCCGCATATTCAATAGGAAAATCATCCTTATTATATTGATCTGTGTAGATAATAATGTTTCCATCTGCATTACCATCTCCAGCCTTGGTTGTGTAGGCCTTCAGAACCAGTTGGGTTTTAGATCTACTGATTCTAGGACCTCGATTCTGCTCACTTAAAGCATCTGGATTACCATTTGCACTATCCAGAACTCTACCAACTTGAACCTTAGGCTGATGTTTAGGGATCACAGCCTGTCCATGAGCACTTGATCGAAAGTCAGAAAAGGCATTATTGGTAGGACGAGGTACTCTCAATTGACTATGTTGAGACACAACCTTTCCATTTGAAATGTCATCTACTGGTTGAAGTGAACCATAAGCACCCCTACCCTGTAAGCTCAAATTTCAAAATCCCAAAAAGTTCCATTAGTCACTGAAAGTGAAAATAAATTTGCACATGCACACAACATCTACTGTGTAAAACTAATTGAATAGATCATCTCAACCATACTCGCTGCAACAATAAACAAATCAAACCATAAGAAACAGCATGGACCATGAAAATTCCTTCCAAGCAAGTACAAAAAAATTACCTACAATACAAGAAAAACATGTTTTACCTGAAAAACACGTGATGAAACTGATCCAGCATGACTACCAGCAGAAATGCTACCAAGTGTTGAACTTTGCTTACTTGGACCAACATTTGCTCTTGGCACTTCTGATAACCTTGCAAAAGAATTTCTCTGGTCTACAGCAGGTTTGGAAGGGTTACTAGAATAGCTTCCAGAACTCTCATTTTTTTGTATTCTTCCATTTCCATTCGATCTATTGATTGAAGGGTCAATCAAGCCGATGGAACTATTGGGGACAATATCTGGCTGGACAATAACAGGGACATAAGCAGGAGAAGGAACGGAGCTGTCGTAAGAAGGAATGGTGTAATATTGTTGGGCCCCTAGATATGAACCATCTGGTCCTATCACAGCACCATGTATGTAAGGATTATACGGGTTGTATTGAGACTGTGCATATCCATAGCTTGGCGTATAATATACATAAGATGAATTCTCATTTTGAGCACCCTGGAACAAGAGAGAAAATAAGGCCATAAAAAACAAAGTTTAAGTTGGGGTGCTCAAGCAAGAAAATATAAAATGCAAATATCTATTACTCACTGCGTATTGGATATCTGGACCATCTAAACCAAAAATCCGAGAATGGTCCTCCCATTCGCCAGGTGATTCAAATCCTATAACAGTCAAGACACAAGTAAGTCATCATAACATCATTTAAATTGCTACTTCATATGTTCGTGAAGAATACCTGTACAGTAATAACCATAATTGGCGGCAGTAGGATAATAAACACCCTGATCAAAAATAAACTCAGGGGTGGCTCCTTCACTGTACATGTTTCACTTGGCTCAAGAAACAGATTTATCAAATATTGCTCGATTTGATGCCTTCAAAGTGAAATCAAGACTGAGAGAATCTACAGAACATCTGAACCCAACGCGAGGCCCAAAAAGAGAACAAAAGATAAAAAATTAGAAGTTGTACTCAAACAGAATTATTCAAGATAAGCAGAAAATAAAACATATTGAGCATTCCAAATCCAAAGTACCGGAAACAAGGGAGCAATTATACCAAGCAATTAAATGACAGACTCCGTATAAAGGATTTCTGACTTCGTACAATCAAGAACCGGACTCCAACGAAGCAAGTTTCAACGGATGGTCTAAAAAAACAAATGGTCTTATTAACTTTAAAAACCCCACTAAAATGAAAATAAACTACAACCCTGATGGCAAATAACAAAGAAACTCAAATGAATGACTTCTTCTAACAACCTACAAGATAAGGTTAGCAATTACGGGGAAGAAGGCAGCAGCAAGTCAGAGCCACTATTTAGTTGACTAAACGACCAGATAAAAGACTCGTCCTTGACTCAAGTCCCTGAACATCAAAACTTACCGAGAAGTAAAAGTAATTAATAGTAAAATACTGGAATCTAAGTCAAACATCCACTTGCTCATCCAATACCTCGAGAAACACAATCAAGTAAAACAAAACAAACTACCAACCAAAGTCCAATTGAATATAACAAGAACACAGCTCAAAATCAAAACACATCGAGTAAAGTTACTTTCCAAGGAAATTTCCACCATAAGAAATCGACAGAACAAGAAAATTCGAACTCCCAATTAGTCATCGCGTAAAGAAACATTCAAAAACAGAATCAGGCAAGGAAAACGAAAGATGATAGAAATTTGAAAAGGAAGAGAAAGGGGCGATTACAGAGAAGTAAAGAGCAGGGGAGAGAGTGAAATACTACCAGAGAAAAGGTAATTGGAGCCATGGAAAAGCTCTACAGCGGTGGAGACAGAGATTGAGATTGAGAATTAAGAAGAAAAGGGCCGGGGTTTCTGCAAGATGGGAAGGGATGAAGAAGAAACCCTAACCGCGAGGGGAGGAAGAGGAAGAAGAAGAAGAAGAAGAAGAAGAAGAAGGGGGGGAATTTGGGAGGGCGGTATTTTGCGTGTGTAAAGAAAGAGGAGATTCCAAGGCTCTACGCAGCGTATCCCTCGTTGACTAAAATACCCCTAATGACTTTCTGAAATTACAATTTTGCCACTAATAAACCCAATAGACTGGACTAGGCCAACGTGGCTGATCTAATTTTTGAAATTACAATGGCTGACTAAAATACCCCTAATGACTTTCTGAAATTACAATTTTACCACTAGTGAACCCAATGGGCTGGACTAAGGTTCTACGTGGCAGATCATTAGAGTTCTTTGAAATTATATGGTTGACGATAATACCCCTAATGACCTTTTGGAATTACAAATTTGCCACTATTATAGGCCAATACGCTGAACTCGGTCTACGTGGCAGATCTTACAATTTTTGAGATTACCGTGGTTGACTAAAATACTCCTAATGACTCTTCGAAATTACAATTTTACCACTACGATAATACCCCTAATGACTTTTTGACATTACAGCTTTGCCACTAAAAAAACGAATGGGCTGGACTAAGGTCTACGTGGCAGGCCACTACAATTTTTTGAAATTACTGTGGTTGACTAAAATACCCCTAATGACCTTTTGTAATTACAATTTTGCCACTAGTCTACTTGGCAGATTTTACAATTTTTTAAATTAAAGTGGTTGACCAAAATACCCCTAATGACTTTTTGAAATGACAATTTTATCACTAATAAACCCAATGGGCTGGACAAAGTCTACGTGGCAGATCCTTTCAATATTTTTTGAAGTACTCTGTTGAGTATCATAATACCCAATGGGCTGGACTCGGTCTACGTGGCAGATCATAAGAAATTTTTGAAATTACAGTGGTTGACGAAAGTACCCCTATGACATTTTGAAATGACAATTTTGCCCCTAATAAACCCAATGGGCTGGACTCGGTCTACGTGGCAGATCGTTATTGGTTAGGGAAAGTATTGGATAGTATAACACGAGAAACTTCCCAACCACACCATCTTGTCTTGTTCAGCAAGTAAATGAATGTTTTCAATACATGAGTGACACGTGTCACCTCCCAATCAACTATTTGATAAATTTTAAAATATCTTGAAACAAGTTTTTATACTTTCCATATAATCTGCATAATCTGCGTTCATTCTACTTTTAATATATCATTAAATTTATTTTATTATCAAATTGACTAAATAATAATACCAATGGGAAGGTTTGTTATGCCTTTGGGCAACTTCCCACCCAAACTATGACCATGTAAAATTGAAAATATTTATAAATATGGAATGAGGTACGTTCGTCCAAAAAACGTTCATCGGTGCTGGCGCTTCTGCCAACTTAAGCCAAGAAAAGCGAGTTGAAGATCCGGAGCTGCAGTTATACACTTAAAGGAAGAAATGTTCTTGGTGTAGACCAGAAAGAAGAGACTTCTCCGTGGGTTAGGAGGGGCAGGGAAAGCCATAGATAAGTACCGGGTTGACTCGACTGATTAGTCAATCTTTTCTTTCTTTAAAGCCAGTTGATAATGAAAAAGGATGCCCCGTCTGCACGGTCAGAATGGATGAACCTATTCTTCAAGGACCCGTTCGGCTGCGAATCGCCTTCGGCAAGATATGGCAAGAAGATGGGGAGAAAAGAATTCATAGAGAGAGCAAGGCAGGCTCAAAAGAACTAGAATGTAGAGACAATATATGATTCCACACACCTGGATGTAAGCATGCTAAGGACATTAACCACCTTTGACCTTGGGCTCTTCTCTTCCATCCTGAAGAATAAAACCAGTGCATTCGAAACAATAACTTGAATGATGCATTTAACAACACATGAATTATCACCGAGTTTAGTACAGTGTATAAGATATTAGTTATCATTTCAAAGATTGACGGTTCGATCTCATTCCTTGTTGAATTCAAAAACAAATCGTACATCTCACATACATATAATCGAATGTCATGGCACATTAATCACATAGACATCACGACAAAACACAACTCAACCAGTTTAGGCATGTACACTCATCAAGAACTCAAAAAAAAAAAAAAAAAAAAAATAATAATTTAATGCACAATAATATGAAGAACACTTCCAAAACTGCAGGAGATAACAGTTGAGGTTATTTCTTCTTCACCCAAGCGATAAATATTGGAAAGTTTCCAAATAATCTTTACCCAGATAGTCGGAGAAACGAAGTATATTCTGGATGTGCATTCAAGAATCTCCTTGGGAGCTCTGGTGGCCATCCCTGTCCCTGACTCAGGATGGGGTGATATTTCTCCAGTAAAGAGTAGACGATCCTTCCCTCATCTACTTCTTCATAACAACCTGCATTTCACCACAGCAGGATTTCAAACAAATACTCAAAACATATGCCAACTGATACTCAAAACATATGCCAACTGATACTCAAAACATATGCCAACTGATACTCAAAACATATGCCAACTGATACTCAAAACATATGCAACTGATACTCAAAACATATGCAACTGATACTCAAAACATATGCAACTGATACTCAAAACATATGCCAACTGATACTCAAAATATATGCCAACTGATACTCAAAACATATGCAACTGATACTCAAAACATATGCCAACTGATACTCAAAACATATGCCAACTGATACTCAAAACATATGCATGTTAAATAATCAATCAACCTAAAAGTTTAAGTTTATGGATTATGATAAATCTAATTATATCAACACTTCAACGATACTATCTCATGTAATAAGAACTCAATCTACAGTGTTATAGCACTTAAGCAACTCACTTGTCCAGCTAAAAGCCATGGTTAGGGAAAACAGGCTAAATTATAAAAAAAAAAAATTGTACTTTGTCGCTTCTTTCAAAAGTACTCTTATTCTTTCGAAAGTTGTAATATAGTCCGTAACTTTTCGTAAAGATTTCAAAACTACCCTAAGAGTAGAAATCCTTTAGGATTTCATATGGAAATTAAAACCTAGAACGGTGTGGCGGTGAACTAAAACAATGTGGCGATCTAAATGTTTGCTCTAAGTTACCATCACCATATCCCAGTTTTATCCTAAATGTTAAAGGTTCCTACTTTATAGATAATTCTAAAACGTTATGAAAGGTCAAGCATATTGCAACTTTTGTAAGTTATGGATGTTTTTGAAACAAAAGGAAAAGTTTAGGGTATCTTTTATAATTTAACCCCAAAAAAATGAAGAATCCAAAGCAGAAATCTGTGGGGTTGTTTTGAACTACCTCCCATTCCAAATCAACCATTTATTAGAGGCATGCTGCACTCCCTCTTAATCTAGCTGTGAAAGTGAAATTAGAAGGTGTGGTACACTCAGATGACAACTTTGCACTTTAAAAAAATTGAACATCCAATATCCCATTTTTTGTTCCTTACATTGTAACAGCTCAAGCCCACCACTAGCAGATATTGTCCACTTTGACCCGTTACGTATCACCGTCAACCTCACAGCTTTAAAACGCGCCTGCTAGGGAGAGGTTTCCACGCCCTTACAAGGAATGCTTCGTTCCCCTCTCCAACCGATGTGGGATCTCACAATTCACCCCCCTTGGGGGCCAGCATCCTCGCTGACGCACCGCCCAGTGTCTGGCTCTGAAACCTCTCCCTAGTAGACGCGTTTTAAAAACCTTGACGAGAAGCCCGATAGGAAAAACCTAAAGTGGACAATATCTTCTAATGGTGGGCTTGGGCTATGCTTCCATGATAATTTCAAGCTAAAATGGATCAGTTTAAAATATCTAATGTAATAATGAAGAAATTTGGTTTATAGAGAATGCATTTAGGTTCCTTTGACTAATTGGATGTGTTAAAAATACTACTTAAGCTCTCAAGTCGAATAAAGAATAACAATTTTGAAATTGGAATTATGCAAATGTAATAGTCCAAGCCCATCCAAGCCCACCGCTAGCAGATATTGTTCGCTTTGGCCCGTTACGTATCGCCGTCAACCTCACGATTTTAAAACGCGTATACTAGGGAGAGGTTTCCACACCCTTATAAGGAATGTTTCGTTCCCCTCTCCAACTTATGTGGGATCTAACAATCCACCCCACTTGGGGGCCTAGCATCCTCGCTGGCACACCGCTCGGTGTCTGGTTTTGATACCATTTGTAACAACCAAGCCCACTGCTAGCAGATATTGTCCGCTTTGGCCCGTCACGTATCGTCATCAACCTCACGATTTTAAAATGCGTCTGCTAGGAGAGAGATTTTCACACCCTTATAAGAAATGTTTCGTTCCCCTCTCCAACCGATGTGGGATCTAACAATCCACCCCCCTTAGGGGCCTACCGTCCTCGTTGGTACACCGCCCAATGCCTGACTCTAATACCATGTGTAACGGACAAGCCCACCGCTATCAGATATTGTCCTCTTTGGCCCGTTATACGTGTTTTAAAACCGTGAGGCTGTTAGGAATCACAGATCTCCACAATGGTATGATATTGTTCACTTTGAGCATAGGCTCTCATGACTTTGCTTTGGGCTTCCCCAAAAGGCCTCATACCAATGGAGATAGTATTCCTTACTTATAAACCCATGATCTTCCACTAAATTAACCAAAATGGGACTCCCTCTCAACAATCCTCAACAGACGCTGACGGTGATCGTAACAAGCCAAAACAGACAATATCTACTAGCAGTATACTTGGGCTGTTATAGCAACAACATAAATTTAGTTTAATAATTATAGAATAGAACAATTCTATTCATGTTGTGATATTTCCATCAAAATTAACAATTGATTATGTTAGCATAGCCCCCACCAATCCAGTATAATATGTGAACATGAAAACCATCCTAACTTCACAAGCTATCAAGAGTTCTACACTTATAATACGCCAATGGAATAGATGTACTTACCCAATTCAATATCATGGTCGTAATCTTCCACATCCCCTTCTTCAATAAGAGTATTGTTTTCCAAATCAATAGCCGCTTTGGCATACCTTTCCAGAAATTGTTCTTCAGTTTCTTCAAGTTCATCGGCATCAGAATCCTGAAACACATCAGAAGGTGTTAGAGAAAGGGGTTCGTCAACATGCCACTAATAATTAATGACAAAATGAATTTGTGAGAGTATATGTGATATTTAACACACATCTTGATATCAAACCTCATCATCTTCTATTTCATCAGTGTCGTCGTCCTCCTCCTCTTCATTTTCATCAGATTCTTCTTCCTTTTCTTCTCGCACTTCTTTCAGCCGTATGGAAGCCTCCATCAATGAACTGAAGGACTTCCATAGAAAATCATCTCTTGGCTTTCCTAACTCCATTATTCGTTCCACCACCTTGACCAATGTCAACACTGAATAGCAATAAAAGAGAAAAAAGATATTTATATTATACTATTAACATATAAAAGCTCAAACAACAATCGGGAAGGCAAACTAAGTAGTTCAACCTCCAAACATAGGAACGCAGCTTTTTTCATTTTTTTTTCAATCGGGCAAAGAAAAATCTCTTCTATTCTATATTCTAAATTGTTTCAGGGAATTAGAGAAATATTTTAAAGCGAGCAGCAATATCATGAGGTAACATCACTTGTTACCATCATAATTGTGCAACCACTTAGCTTCTCTAGAGAAGATGGAATTCCAGCATACAATTTGACAAAGATGGCATCATGAACTGTTGACCAGAACAACCAAAATTGCAAGACATAAAAATATATATATACACTTGCATGCAAGCTGGGTAGAACCCATTTTTGCACCCCACTGCTCGCAGAAATTGTCCTATTTGGGTTATCTCTTCCAGGCTTCCCCTCAAAGTTTTTAAAACATGTCTGCTTGGGAGAGGTTTCCACACCCTTATAAAGAATGTTTCGTTCTCCTCCCCCAACCGATGTAGGATCTCACAATCCACCCCCCTTCGGGGTCCAGCGTTCTCGCTGGCACTCATTCTCTTCTACAATCGATGTGGGACCCCCCAATCCACCCCCCTTCAGGGACCAGCATCCTTGCTAACACACCGTCTCGTGTCCACCCCCTTTGGGGCTCAAACTCCTCGCTGGCACATCGCCTAGTGCCTAGCTCTAATACCATTTGTAACAAGTCAAGTCCACCGCTAGCAGATACTATCCTCTTTAGGTTTTTCCTTTCGGGCTTCCTCTCAAGGTTTCTAAAACGTGTCACTAGGGAGATGTTTCCACACCTTTATAAAGAATGATTCGTTCTCCTCCCCGATCGATGTGGAATCTCACATGTCCCAACCCCACTAGTCATTTCCTTTGTTTTTTAACATTTTAGCTTCTTTTTTTTTTTTCTTCTGATGTGTGGCTAGGCTGGGCAGCGAAAAATGGATGCAAGCCAGCTAGCACGCAAGTGCGTCTTTAAAAATTGAAAAAAAAAATTAAAAAGGAAAAAAAAAGTTAGGAAGTAAAGAACTATGGGGTATAAGAAAAGAACATTGGTGAGATAAGATCCATCAACATTACACAGTAAAATCAACTTTGATTCAAGAACCAGTAGAGCTAGGAAAAGCCACTGACCAATCAACTTTATCTCCGATTCCGCAGACAAGCCGGGCGCAAAAGAGCTGCTACAGATATAACCAAGGGCTGAGACCCAGACTGTGAAGCCTCCTCCATCATACTTCTCCAAAAGTCTTTCTACAGTATCAGGAAGACAGATATAGCATGTTGATATGGAAAGCAGTAAAGGCTTCCACAATGCACTTGGTTTGCTTTGGATTTCTCTAAAACGGGAAAACGACGTCCGACTAAACGTGACTACCAGCGACTCCTTAACGCCTTCCGCTTCAAACGAGTAACTAAGAACATTCAATAACATATGAATACACGAACAAGCTTTCCATGTAGCAGATGGATATTGTGAGATTGTCTGATTAATGAAAGCTCCAATGTTTTCTACAATAGACCCTTGAGGCACTGGTGGAGCTGGAGGAGATGGTGTTGGCTTCACAAAAAAGTTCTTCAGTGCATATTTGTTATTTAATCTAACAACTTCCATAATACAATTAAAGACTGAGAAATCCTCTGATTCTTCCCAAGAATGCCAGTCTGCAATAAGATCAGCCCAGACTGATACTAATTCAGATACTTTAAGATCTGAAATAGTATTGCTCCCTGTAACAGACAGCATGATGAACTGAAGCAACCTTGATGAATGATCTATGCATGATGGAGGGGTCAAGAATTCCTGATCTTCGTCCATTTCCTGGGACAACTGAAAATTTATAATGAGAAATAAATGCAGAAAAGCGCCGCAAATTGAATGAGAAATGACACTCTTAAGTTATTCACAGCCTAAACTTGAGAAAAGTGATATAGATATCCATAACAAAGCAATCATTTGTTAATATGAAATAAACGATTAGAAGTAAAAAAAAAAACTATATTACTATAAAACAAAATAAAATTTATTAATTGATTATTATTATGTTACTTAAAAAATATTATTGAATGAGAAATTTGAGCCAATCATAAATTGTCACATCATTGTTTTAAATCGATGACAAAGTTGCATATTATTATTTGAATCCAATTACATCTTCAAAGAAACCACAAGCTGAAGACCTTCAATTAGATCGAAGCCAAGACTTTCAATAAGCTCAAAGCCGAAGACTTTCCACAAGTTCAAAGTTGAAGATTCAACCTCGAGAACAAACAATTTAACCTTCGAATAAAATATACAATCAAGAGAGAATTAGAGAACCACACAAACAAATTAGTACACATTAAAGCATCATTCCACAAATTAAATTTCTTTTGAAATTTCATGGAAACAAATATATTAGCATATTATTTAGTAATCTATTTTAATTAGTTAAAATATGCCTGAGGTATTCTAGTAATTGAATTACATTTGATTCCTATTCTGATTCTTGACAATTTGAAGTAAGCAACATCAATGAGTTACTGATTTGAATTCTAGATAACTCCTACTAAATAACATTCCAACTCGAATTAGTTCTAGTCCAATTTCAGCTCATTTTGATTTCTAATACATAAATGGAGACTTAGTCATGTAGGAATTTTACCATCAATGGACGGAAGGAAACATCTTCATAAACAGAGTCAGTTTGATAGCGTTATGAATAGTTTAACTTCATAGGCTCTTCCTTGTGTATGAATTCATCTTATTTTCATAGCTACAATCTATCTATACGTTTGGCTAGGTACAATCAATCTATCTCCCTAGGCGTGGATAGCTTTTCCCTCTTCTTGTATGTTTCATCTCATCATCGCATCAATGAATTAGATCTTTGTTTCTCATTAAAAAATATATATATACACATATCAATCATAATATTCAAGAAGATCTGAACCAGAAGATTAATTCACCATAAGATAACTAGGCAGTTAATAACTAACCAATGGGTACATGGGTGCAAGCCACGCCTGCTGCAAGAGAGACGAGAATGATCTACTGATTGTGGCTTGCTCCGATGTTGACCGTTCACATGATGCATCTTGCTCAGTTTTCTCAAGTATGAAGTTTTCCCAAGACTGAGCCATCACTGATAAAGCTGCAAACCCACGTTCAACAACCTGCGCCAGTGTCGAATTCATCAATGCTAATCACTTTTTTTGAAGAAAAGGTTCCCTTAATGACACTTTAAACCATTCGAAAGTGATAAATATTTTAAAATGAAACAATAAATACAGATAATGAAGGAGATAAGAGCATGAAGATTGAACGCAAACAAAATAGAGGGTGAAACATTAAGTTTCCTTTGATAGATTTTGAAGATTGTCGGGACCATTTGGATAAGAAACAATTTCATTGATAGTACAAAATACCAAATGAAAATTACAAAAGGTCTTTTCAATCAGAAAGGAGGGTAGGAAAGCTATAGTGAAATCAGACAAAATAGTAGGTTTTTATATGATATGAACCAAATGAAACTGTGCAAAATTAAAGAATCAGATCGAAATAGACTTTATCATTTCAGTCCAATTGGATTCTATTAAGTTATTTTCTATTATGTTTGCTCAGCTCAGTCAAATTGAATCTTCTACACCTTTTTTTACTCACTTTCAGGCCTTTATCCTAAACATTTTAAAGCTTTACAGTCGACCAAGTTTTATAAAATTCAAACCTATTTACATGATTTAAAAAAGTGACTAATTTGGTGAACTTAGATTCATTTTCATTCAAATTAACGACATCACTTCCACAGTTTCTATCGAACAATTGATTTTTCAACTTTGTTCACTCCTTCAAGCATAGATACTTTTTGGGAAATTATGGCGATGTTAGTCCAGAAAATGAGCATCAAATTAGCAGGAAGAATTTTCACTCAACTCTGACGACAGAATCTTAGAAAAATTTTATAGCGTTGTTTTTTCTTTGATAACAAAATTTTCTGCCTCCAAATTGCATTCTCAATTTCCATAATGCATATTTAGCTCTGTTTCAAATTAGTAACAACAATGTTGTTTGTTTAAAAAAAAAAAAAAAAGATTCTCACGGGAGAGTTGTACATACTTGAGGCCATGGCTCCAAGTTTGGAGGTATGCTTTTTGAGATTGCACCAACCAGAGACAAAACAGCGTGAGGAATATGGATGGCGACGTTTTCATTACCAGCTTCCACAATGGAACTGAGAAGCTGAAACAAAATGGAGTTCTCTTCATCATCTTGGCCAATCGCACCTATTACAACTTGAAGAAGAGGTAACCACTCAGGTGGCAAGTAGTCATTCTGAAGAGGACAAATATAGCATCTTAGTGACAAATCTGGAAAAAGAAAATAAAATGAAGTCCAACAGATTATCCAACAAGTTCGATCAAGAGGCCTACTTCAAGAAGCTTGGCTATTGCTCCAGCAGCAGAGACTCGGACAGGGTAAAACGAAACTTCCTCCTTATCAGGCATGGATAATGCCTTAACCAATGAAGAATATATTTCGGCACAGACCTCCTGAAAAGGGTCAACATTAGAGAAAGAAATGTTGGAGTGCATTATGTCATACAAAATTCAGTCCTCAATGTGGCAACAATTAAGGAGAAAAAAATAGAAAAAGTAAGGTTTTTGTTTAAACTTGCTTTGTCGTAAATAATAAAAGCATGGACAATACAGTAGCAGGAGAATTATAATATCTCACTTCAGGCAGGCAGGATGCAAGCTCTCCAAGTACCCAATTTGCAGAGGCAACTAAATATGGCAGGCACGTTGACACAGCATATAGAGGCAACACTCTTGTGCGGATTAGAAACGTCACGTATCCAGGTTGTTGCTCCCTTAGAAACTGCAATACAGAGATATACAGAGGCAGAATAATACATAAAATATAGACTATTCACACATCACTCGTGAATGTAGAAATCAGGAACTACTTACATCAAGCAAGCCACCATACGCAATTAGAACACCATAGTAACTGTAGCCATTGACAGACAAGAGAATTAAAATGAGTATAGAGGTGAAAATAACAAAAAAGCAGTGGAGTTAACTTACACGTATTGGAAAAATAGATACAAGTTTGAAAGCCAATGATATTAAAAAAAAGTAAAAACAAAAAAAGAGATGAGAAAGTAGTGAATAATGAACAAAAAGAACAGATGAAAGGGGAATAAAGCAACAAAGAGACTATATCCAGATAAATACAGAAGATAACAAAACAGAACGGGGGAACCCCAGGCTCCAAAAACTACAGTCAGTATTTATTCAAACAGTATTCATTTTGAGAATGGGGTAAGATTAAGAAGCAAGTCTGACTTCAGAAAACAAAATGCAACAATCTTGCCAGTCGTTGAATACTCATGATGCTTGTTCTAATATTTACAGGCTTCCGGAGTCATGCTTAAAAACATTATATATTCTTTACAATAAAAAATAATTTTAAATCCAAAATATTATGTTTGATACAAAAATATACTACAAATATAGCATTGTGGTAAGTATAGCATTTGTAGTAAGTATAGCATTAGAGAAAAATATACTACAAATAAATAGATATATAAAAATGAAAGGAACAAGCATAGCCTTCCAAAAAAATTTCAAAAAAGAAAATAGAGAAAAATAACTTGAAAACATTAGTCTGCAAAACAATTTTTGATAACGCCCCAAACAACTCAAATATTTTTGGCATGGAATAACAAATAAATCAAATAAAAAGTATGTAACTGAAATAATATCTAGAAGACAATATTTACGAAAACAAGTCTTTAAGACTACCAGTCTGCGGTCTTATAGCAAAGCATCAAAAAGATTGAATCTACACATCCCATATTTTCATATAAAGTCCACTTAAAGTTAAGAAGCAGGAAATGAAATTGCATTCCAGATTAAAGACTGAAGTTTAGGATGACATATGAGAACTTCTAGAGCGAACAACATTTTTTTTCCTTTGGCCATAAATAAGAGTTCTCTTTAATCATTGACTAGAGCGGAACAGTACATTATTCTTTAAAACAAAGCTCGCCAGTAGGTAGCTATCTACATACTTAGTAAAAAGCAGCAGAATTATGCAGTTTAGGTGGCACCATGTACCATAATTAACAAATAATTCAGACAATAGTTACAAATGCAACTGAACCAAGAGCTTCACACTTGTATGAGATCAATGAATAACACCTGATATTCAAATCATACAATGTAACGACTAAATTGGAAGGCCAGGTTGCATGTTAAAAAAACTTACCTATTTACAATACTGGTTTCGGAAGCGTTTGCATCAGAGGGAATAGGATATTTCGAAAGAAATGGAAGTACAACCAACTCCCCCATAGTAGCGCATTGATTATTTGTTCTCTTGCTGCCTTTTTTACGCTTTGATGAAGCTGAAGAACCATTCATATGGGTCACTCTGGGAGGCCCCTGTAGGTACTTGGATTAGATTACTGATAACACTTACTAAAAGGAATGGCCCGCACACATTTCATCATGAACTAAACAGGTAACAACCTTCGACAATGCAATAACGCCGAGCAAGTTTATTGCACTTTTCCTGGCTGTGTATAAATCCTCCCTCCAACCAGAAACTTCTTCCTATAAAATACGAATAACCAAAAATGGTGACATAAGATCGATATGAAGATCAATTCATATGACAAATTGAACTATCTTACTAGGTCAGATGGAAGATTCTTCCTTAAGTACTCATCTGGATCATCTTCCCACTCAGAAACGTCCTTTTCCATTGATTTGACACAAAATAAGATAAGTTAACAAACTCTGGACAATGAGTGGATGTTATAGAGCAATATATAAGCTCTCCAAACTTTAACCTTCTCGTTCATTATAAGGGATGGAAATATTCCAGAGTGTATCAATGTTGAAAAGTGCGGAGAAACCAGCCTCCATCCCTATTTAACATGAATGAATAGCATCCAATTAATTAGCCTCCAGCTGAGTTACAATTTTGCTAAGGGAAGAAAGGATAATCAATTCAAAATCAAAATATAATGTCCATACTCGCCCCGTCTCCAGAACATGTGAAATCACATCAAAGCCTAGCGAAATAATCCTCTCTGATAAAAAGTCGAGCTTCTGCCCAAAGGAAACTGATAGCTGAGAACTGAGAAAAAACCTTATAAAGTACGTCAACATACAGCAAAAGAAGGAAATGCTAAAGCATTAAAACAGTATGTTGAATAGGAAATAAACAAATAGGACAAATACAGAATAATTGCTCTCGAAGAAAGGAAAATAAAGGGATCACATCCAAAAGAATAAGACATAATGAATAAGTGAAAAAAAATTTAGGGACAGATATCCAAAACAAGGGTTAAACCTAGCTAGGGACCAAACCTCCTCCAATATCCCTCCACACTCCTCGAGATTCTATTATTTCTCTCAATGTAGATGCATTCCACAAACAAATTGTCTCAATTGGAGGATTTCAGTGCCTTGAAGTCCCGGGAGCATGCAGGAGAGAGATGCATCTTATGAGTTGGGGGAGGGAATTTCAATGGCATCCAAATTTTGAGAGAAGGCCTACAATGAGAGCTAGGGAAACCATAATAAAATATTAGTTCTTTTCCACGAAACAGGAGGTGGATTAGAACTGCCGATACAGTTTACTTGGTAAAGAAGGGCACTCTCTAGATATAACCACATTTCGGCCTATTTTATTTAACACACTCAAATAGTACTTACATGAGCATTTTTGCTATAATTCACAATGTTCAAGACACATTTTATGATGTGTGGCATCAACCTGAAATTGCAAGGGAAAGATAAACGTGAACGGAAATCCAGCACAGTTGATCTGAACTTGAGGGATTTTAGGATAATTGTATTACTTATCAGTATGCTTTCGGTGTCGGGTAACAAAGACGCAGAAAATAAGCAGGCTTCTCTTCGCAGTTTTCAACCTGCTCACATTGCCATACTCTGGGGAAACTGCAGCCTCAAATTTTATGGAATCTAGAATGCTAATTAAATCATGGCAAAACGATGGAAGTAGAGGCACCAAAGAAGAAGGCATATGCGATCTCACCTACACAAGTAACAGCATCATAAGACCAGAAACGTCTTTCCCTCTCTGATTGTCTAAGTAATTTTTAGTTCTTACTTAGTTAGAGATTTTAGTTTTATATTATAATAATAATAAATAATAGACAATAACAAGCTCGTAGGCATTTTAAGAGAATTTTTAAATTTATAAAACGAAATGGGCTAAGCTTAAGAACAAATACTTACAGAAAAGTAGACACATTTGCATACTATTGAAAGAATCTTATCTATCTCAACTTCCCTTCCATCATGGTTAGAAAGAGCCTGTGTGACACCAGAAACACACAATCACCCAGAGTTTAATTTTGCTTGGGGAAGCTGAGATTTGTGGATGGGTAAAGTGTGCCAGAACCTGTTCAACAAGACGATGGAATACAGCTAGCAGGGGTACAATAATCGTGTTTGCAAGTAGCTCTAACTGTGGTGGTACGGGCTCCTTAGAATCTTTAGGATTCAAAAAGTACTGCCAAAATAAATTGTGATTAAAGCTGTTAAGAGAACCTCAACTCACGTTGTAAACCTCTGTCAGCTTTAAACTTACCTAAACTTCCATCAAGCATTATATAAAACATTCAAGAATCACAAATCAAAACATCAAAAAAAAAACAGATAGAAGTATCAGTTCAGAGTAGGGAAGTTATATCCTAAAACATTGCAGCATTTCACACTGTTGATCACTAATTTATTAACTAAATACCAAGTATCAAATGGATGAAAAATAGTAAGAATTTCGGGCCACCATTTGAACTAAAAAATTGTCATCTAATTGTACAGGACATTAATCATTGACCAATTCGTACACTAGATCAAAACTATCTTTGGCCAAGTATGTAATTGGATGGCGGTTAGTTTATCCATGTATTTGAATGTTTGATAAATTGCTCAACTAAAGTCATGTACTTGGAAAGGTCTGCACGTTGTACAGAGAACAGACAGGGCGTTGATAGCATTCCATTGACATTTGGCTCCATTGTTGAAAAGATTGCTGTTTTGAATAGCAGAGCAAAGATCAGACACAAGTTCAGGCCATGAGCTCTGCTTCACAAACTCATTGACCACTATGCTGTGAAACTGCCAGAACATTATAAAAGAGATATAAGAAGATGATGAAGAAGAAGAAATACATTGGAAATGGTAACGATGTGACCGTAAATTAATCATTCAGAATATGCAAGAAATATAATTACCACTTCAACCAAAACTTTTAGAACTTTTGGTTCCGCTTGGAACAACGCTCTCAGCAGTTCATCCTTGAACCCCTTGCTGACTTTTGAACATGAAAATTCGCCCTCAGTATTTCTCCTACTCAAATTTTTAAGGTAAGCAGCAGCAGCTATCTTTTGACCTTGATCGTGACTTCCTACATGGAAGGGATGAACAGCTAAACCTTAAAGGTTAAGTGGCAATGAAGTTCAACTGAATTTGTTTATTGCAATTAACCTGAGTTTCAGTTTGTGTTTAAGAGTTGATTAAACAAACCCCATGAAATTTAAGATCATGGAGGGAAACTATGTACGAATATGTCAAACCACCAATCATGGACTTAAAATCTTAAATAAGGCATAATAAGCGAAACCCAATATTAATTAGGGAGGAAATGACATTATAAGACATTATAAGAGTTTAAACACAAGATCTCGTGCTCGGGTACCATGTAAAATCACCAATCAACCCAAGAGCTTAATGGATGGGTTAAGGTAAATTAAATCATATCAATGCTTCATCAGAATAGTCAATTTTAAATTCTACTCTTTTTGGTGCCAAAAATATACCAATGGTCAAATATTTCAAAATTTAGGCAAGAGAGCCTGCAGTCCACAATCAATTGAGTCGCACGCTAAAAGTTGATTCAATTGAATTTAGCATCTCCATAATACACCAGAGAGTACTCGTGCTTTTACCTGCAGACGCGGCATTCATCTTCTAAATAACTAATGTGATTCCAAATGAAATTAAAACCATATGTTTTTTCCCAACTTCCAGCTCGAAAAAACACAAACAACTCAAACATACATTAAAATTCTGAAACCACCAAAACCAACCCTGGGGAATAGCTAGCTCCGAGCTCAACTTAATGTTAGGAATAACGACTCTCCACAATGATATGATATTCCTTACTTATATATCCATAATCATTCACTAAATTAGCCAATGTGGGACTCCCTCCCAACAATCCTCAACAATCCTCCTCTTGAACAAAGTATACTATAGAGCCTCTCCTCAGGCCTATAGAGCCCTCGAACAGTCTCCCCTTAATCGAGGCTCAACTCTTTCTCTAGAGTCCTCAAATAAAGTACACCCTTTGTTTGACACTTGAGTCACTTTTGACTACACCTTCGAGGCTCACAACTTCTTTGTTCGACATTTGAGGATTATGTTGAGAGTTGGTAAGTTAAGGGCATGACTATGATGTCATGTTAGAAATCACGACTCTCCAAAATGATATGATATTGTCCACTTTGAACATAAGCTCTCGTCACTTTACTTTGGACTTCTCAAAAGGCCTCATGCCAATGGAGATGTATTTTTTACTTATAAATTCATAATCATTCCATAAATTAACCAATGCGAGACTCTCTCTCAACCATCCTCAACACTTACTACAGCCAGTAAGATGAGACCCAACAAAATAAAGATAAGTAGTTTAGCAACAAGAGGAACTAAGGGAATTTGAAGAAGCTTTTACCAGTAGCAATACAAAGTAGAGCAGACGGAAGCTCAGGATGAGAAGATAGGCGATCGAGAGACTCGGTGGCTCCATGGATGACTTGCGGGTCATTGCTAAGCGTCTCGGATAGAATTTGAGCGACTTTAGCAACTTCCATGAATCTTTGATTGTGTGACGGCCTCAACAGTGCAGCTAGTATTGAATAAACCCCAATCAAACACGGAGAGCGAGCAGGAGGCAGAAACCTTGGAGGAGATGGGAGTGAAGAGAGAGGAAGAAGAAGAGAAGAAAAAAGGGCGGGAAGGTGAGTGCTTGGGCAATTACAGGCAGCCTGCAAGCAACCATTGCTCGGACTGAAAATGGATCGAGGCTGGCTCGGCAGCCCATTGCCAATGTGGCGACAGAATTTGGGATTGGGCCATAAAACCCAGATTAATTTTAACTTTTTTTTTTTTTTTTAAAGTAAAAATATTACTGAATTTAAAATTTTACATCATTTACTTTATTAAAAAAATTAAAAATAAAACAAATATTGTTGACTGATTTTATTCAAGTTTCTCTAAAATACCTCATACTAATAGAAATGTATTTTTTACTTATAAACCTAGGATCATTCTCTAAATTAGTCAATGTGGGACTCCCCCAACCATCTTCAACAATAGATTCCTACCTGCTCTATAATAGCTCACGTCCTACCGCTAGTCGATTTTTTTTTAAGGTTTGAAGGAATATTTTAAAAGTTTAAAAAATATTAACGTGTAAAACATGTTGGATGATGAAAGTCCCACATCAGTTAATTTAGGGAATGATTATGGGTTTATAAGTGGAATACTAACTCCATTGATATGAGGCCTTTTGGGAAAACCCAAAGCAAAGTCATGAGAGCTTATGCTCAAAATGGACAATATCATACCATGATTATGGGTTTATAAGTAGGAATACTAACTCCATGCGAGCTTATGCTCAAAGTGGACAATATCATACCATTGTGGAGAGTCGTGTTCGTTCCAACAAAACATTTTAAAAAAATTATATAACTTTTAAAAATATATTTTAAAGATAAAATATAAAATATAACTTAGTATTTAAAAAAAAGTAAGCTTACTATTAATAATATTTAGCTTCACGAAAAAGGAGATTAACGCCATTATTTTAAAGGCTCCGTTTAACCACTTTATGGTCAAAGCGTCCGAATTTAAATTCCGTGGCTTCCCTCCATCTACCTCAAAATAAAAATAATAATAAATAAATAATAAAATATTCCTTTAATTTTTCATATTACCTAAATTTATTAATTATTTTTTATTTTTTATTTGTAAATTTAGTAAATAGTATTAATTTTAATTGTAAACTTTCATTATTATTTGGTGATAATTTATATTTTTTTTTTTACCATTTATCCAAATTTCACTCATTTATTCCTTCATTTTAATAAATAAAAAAACTATAATACAAAAAAATCGATTCAAAATCAAATATGGTACAAAATTAAATTAGAGTATGAATAACGAAAAATATATTAATAAGTCACGACACATCACTAACATCTGTTACAAATGTCAGTCTTTCTCTTTGAAACAACCTCATAAACACGAGCATATACAACTCGAGAGAAAATTTGGATCAAGGGCTGAGAAGTACAACTCGTATCAAACTTATGAAAGAATACTTGCTGTCCACCTTCCGAACAAAGTTCACTGAAAGTCTTTCGGGGATTACCTGTTTTGGAGGGACCCACCATTGTATTTTTAAGGGAGGGTATGAAATAGCGGAATGCCACGACTTCTGTGAGTGTTTTGTACAACACGGTCGAGTATGTCACCAATATAAACGAGGTACACAAGAAAGATGGGAACGGTCTTGATTTAATGCCAACCTAAAAGTGATTCGCTAAGTCGGGTAGTGACGGCTTATTGAACTATTTTATTTACGAAATGGTCCCTGCCATTTGGGTTACTTTCCAAATTTGAAAAATAGCAGGGACCATTTCGTAAATAAAATAGTTCAAAATTTTAATGGGCGGGCTGTTCTAAGCTCATCGTGTAATCAATTTCATTTTCTGTTCCACTCTTCCACTCCACTGAGAAGTTCGAGCTTCGTCTTGCGTTCAAATGTTCACTGAATCCTCACCTTGAATTTCAATTTCGTTCGATCGGAACTCGAGAGCTCAACAATGTCGAAACATGTAGCTGTTTCAAAGAATCCTCAACCAGAGGCCGACGAGAATGAACTCGGAACTTCGCCCAGTGCACTTCATTTTCCACCTCCTAGAACACCTTTCAATATCATTGCAGATCCAGCTCAGTTCCAGAAAGAATTTCATGATTCTGTGTTTGATTCAAACTTCAAGCTCCAATCCACCAAAGCCGATTGGTTTTCTGATAGAAAATCTGATGTTTCGCTTAAGGTTAATTGGAAAGCAAGTACCAACAATGGCACACCAAGGTTTTCAGCTCAAGGTCGGAGGGTCAGCTCTGAGCCTAGCTCAACTCAGAGTACTCCTGCAAAGAGTTCTTCGAGAGTTTCGTTTGGTGGAGTCGCTACTGGTAGTAAAGCTCCTCAGCTCGCCGATGGCAGGGCAGGAAGTTCCTCAAGGCTTTTCAGAAGGATAGCGATTCCGGATACAGAGTTACCGGTCGACGTTCCACATTTCGACCTTGAGGAAGATCCATCTTTCTGGAAGGATCACAACGTGCAGGTTAGTTTGTGCTCTGTCTCTCCTTCATTTTGGTTAGGGTAGCTTCGTGGATGTGAATCATGGGATGTATGATTATTCTGTACAGGTAATGATACGTATTCGACCTCTGAATACTACGGAGAGAGACTCTCAAGGTTATGGTCGATGCTTGCGACAGGAATCCGCAAAAACTCTGGTGTGGCTTGGTCACCCCGAAACCAGATTCACCTTCGATCATATAGCTTGCGAAACAATATCGCAGGTGCAATTTTCTCTCTCTCTTTCTCTGGTTTTCTTGTTTGTTTTCGTTGAATTGTGCCTCTTCTGGAGAAATTTATTGTTGTAGCTTCTGCCCTGATATGGCCTTGAACTCAATTTATTCTGGGTTTCGTCGAATTCATCTGTTCTCGGAAAGAAAATTAGTGTAGTATAGTTCTGAAGTCCAAAGATACCTTCATGTCGGCCTCACTTCTTCCTGCTATGAAATTTAGGAGAACCTTTTCAAGGTTGCTGGACAGCCAATGGTGGAGAATTGTTTGTCTGGTTATAATAGCTGTATGTTTGCTTATGGCCAGGTACTTCAGCTGCAATATTCATTTTTTAGTTTTTGCAGGATCTTGGGTTTTATGTCTTTATGTGTTCATGTTTTTGGTCCCTGCAGACTGGTAGTGGCAAAACATATACCATGATGGGTGGAATATACGAGGTGGAGGGCAAGCTCAACGAAGATTGTGGACTAACATTACGCATTTTTGAGCATTTGTTTACAAGAATTGGAATGGTTGGAAACTTAATGCCCTATGCTTTTAATTGATACGATCATTTGCATGTAATAATGCATCTCCTGAGTTATTTTGTTCTTTACTGGGTTTCTTATGACAAACTATTTGAGCAGGAGGAAAAGTGCAAACAGGACGTCAAATTGAAGTATAGCTGCAAATGTTCCTTTCTAGAAATTTACAATGAGCAAATAACTGACCTCCTGGAACCTTCATCAACTAATTTGCAAGTAATTCTAAGCTTTATAAGAATATTTTGCTCTGTGTTTTACTCTCCACTTTCCCCGACCATTGCGTAAAGTAAATTTTCTCATTGTAGATCAGAGAAGACTCGAAGAAAGGAGTATACGTAGATAATCTCACAGAACACAGTGTCTCATCTTTAAATGATGTTGTCGAGCTTCTCTTACAGGTTTCTCTACCTTGAGATTTTGCATTCAACTGGCACATTTTTAAAATTTTTTTTGGATTGCCACACAATCAAGATCTTTCCATTTCATACTCAGGGTGTGGCAAATAGAAAGATGGCTGCCACATATATGAACAGTGAGAGTAGCCGCTCCCACAGTGTTCTTACTTGTATAATTGAAAGTCATTGGGAGAAAGATTCCAAAACTCACTTTAGATTTGCGAGGTTAAATTTAGTGGACCTGGCTGGTTCTGAAAGGTAAACTGTTTCATGCACGGGATGCCTAGTAACCTTTTTTCATTGCCTTAACTTCTTGTACTTAATTGGCTAACTTCATTGATTGATCAGGCAGAAAAGTTCTGGTGCAGAGGGGGATCGCCTGAAAGAAGCTGCAAATATAAACAAGTCATTATCAACTCTTGGGTAATTAAAGCAAAGAGCTGTTTCTTGTCAGAGAACCTAATGCGTTTCCTCGGATACTTATTTTTACATATTCATTATGTGTCCTTTTGTTCTCATCTATATTTAAGCATTTAAGATAATTTTTAAACTGCACATTATTTTGTTTGAATACGTTTCACCTTCTGAAATCTGTATTAAACAAAGTAATGTGATATTCAAAACTGTTTTTCCAGTAGAAATGGAACTTGAGGTAAAGCTTTTATATGTTGTCTATCATTCATGTTATTTGTTAGGGAGTGCTTTTACCTGGGTTGCCTCTGAGTCTAACTAACAATAATTTACATGAGAATTACATTATTGCTTGTCCTTTTAAAGGCCATACTAGTTTCGCAAGATTTTCTTTTTCATCTTGCAAATTTTCTTGATTGATTGTTTTGCTTTTTTCTTTTGTTTTCCTACAAATAGTGGTAAACTCTTCGTTCTTATTCAAATCTAGCATATTAAAAGCAGTGACCATAGTGTTGAGAAAAATGTAAAATGCAAATTCACCCTGGGTATCTGGCAAGTTCTTTTGAGGTTCTCTATTTTAATAATAGACCATCCAATGCTGGTTTTGTTGTATTTCTTCTTTACTTGTTGCCGTGTTTCTATTTTGCAAAAGAAAGATTATCGAGTATAGAGATTTTTGTTTTTTGCATCTGAATGATAATAGGTTATTTCCAAAGGAATTACATGACAGAACCTATAAATTCTTTTGCTGCCTGAATAGTCAACTGTCTTGTTGTGGAATAGATTTTTCTCGGAAGAATTTTTCCAGAAGTTATAATATAGCAGTTATATGCAACTATTTGATTCAATTGTTTTTTAGTTGCTTAGCCCGTCTTTCTGCTCTATGTTGTAGCTTGGTGATTATGTCATTAGTGGATTTGGCTCATGGGAAGCCTAGACATATTCCGTACAGAGATTCAAGGTTGACATTCCTACTTCAGGTTCTTTCTTAAAACGCTTTCAATCTAAATATGATATCATCAACATATTGATCATTTGGTTCCTCTGAGTCGGGAAATATCTGAGCGGCACATTTGGATACAG